GGCTGCGAGCGCGCGAGAGTGTCGCGAGAAGAAACGAGAATACTGTGTCTACTTTTTCGCACATGCAGTTACAAAGTACGAGCTTTACACATCGCGCCCGGCTGGGCACGAAGAGACGGCGAGGGACGGCCGCCAAGTTCCCTCGATCGTTAAAAATCGCGACGCGATCGACGCGGGAACATCCCAGAAAAACGCGAGCAACGGCCTCTGCCCATACAGCATAAAAGTTGCGGCAACATTGCGATATTGCAGCAACGTTGCCGCAACTTTTGTGCTATATGAGTGCTTATGTGTGTGTTCCGTAGAAAAACAGCCTCTCCTAATTTCACACCTTTTTGATTCTTCTTTTTGCCCCCTTGGCTTTTTTCTCTGTTCCCCTCTCTCTCTCTCTAGAAATACGGAGTGGTATCAGTCGCGAGTCTACCTGGTCCAATGTACAACTAAGCCCGCGCGACCTCTACGCATTCACGTTAAGAGGATGGGGCTCGTCAATGAAAGTCGTTCCATCTCTGCAAAATGGCGGACTCGCTCGGTCGACTCGCAGCGAAAGCGGGGGCAATAATGCACACTCTCTGTGCACACTCGGGGGGAGCGGCACTGAGAGGATCGTGAGAGAACTCTCCCTCTCTCTCTATCTCTTCCGATTTCAAGGTAGCGCGACGCGGATGAAATTCGTAAACCGTTCGCCGGAAAATCTAGACAGTGATGTGTGTGTGTGAGATAAAACGTGTGTAAAGGTGTGGGAGCTCTCCTCTCTCACTTACGATTAATCTTCACATACGATACGATAGCATCACTACGCGTAAATCGATAATAACGTACGTAATACAAGTCCCACCGTTAATTGTTGTTTACTATTACATTACCATAGTATAATAGTGAACATTAAAAACATCCAAGAACAGTCGAATAGTGTGAATCGTCGATTCTACCGCGCGATAATAACTACTCTCTTCCTCCCTCGCCGCCGCGATCGGGCCGCACTCGCCCGTGTTTCGATCGCGGGTCTGTGCTTCGTAGTTTCCGGAAGAAAGCATCCTTCAGCACCTCTGTCTCTGTCTTTTCTCATCTCCACTCCACACCGAGTGTCGAACATTTCGACCTGTTTCGGACAGTGCGACGATGTGCCGCACAGCTGTGAAAACCAGACCTCGTGTTTCTCGCGTCCCTCCTTGGGTCCCATCGGGAGCTCATCACTTCGACTCCTTGCGCGAACGCGGCATTGCATCCCGCACGACTTTTCTGCCTCCCGAGATCATAAGCATCATAACCCTTCCCTAACCGACTACGAAATGTATGTATGTATGTATGCGTATTTCATATTGTTATCTTTCCAACGACTGCGGCGCGCTTCTCGTCGTCGACAGGAGCGTCTCGAGATAAGGTAACAGGTGCGCAACACTCAACCGACGAGACCCAGGAGTCCGCTCGTCTGTGACCGACCAAGCTGGGCGAGGTTCGAGCGACCCGGTTCGTACGCGCGCGCGAGTGCGGCCCGATTGCGGCGAGCAATCTAGCAAATGGAGACTGAGAAACCTAAGAAAGAGAAATATTCAATAACTTACGGAGCACAATACAATATCAATCCTCTATTAACTCCAAAAATATGTTATTCTCTTCTATATTTTATATATATATATATATATATTTATATATTATCTACAAATCTCTCTTTCTCTCTCTTTCTCTCACCCTCCTCTCTTTTTCTCTCACTCCCTCTCTCTCCCGCGAGAGTCTCAGTTATTCTTTATATATATATATATATATATATATATTTATATATGTATATGTATATACACGGTGATAATATAATAATTTCATGTCTGTATCAACTGTCTGTACAACGCGATAAACCTAACCTAACCTAACCTAACTCCACAGTACGCGTGAAAATGTAAGCCCGTCCCTGCCCGACCGTTCTTCTCTTTTTTTCCGTTTTCTTTATTACGTTAGCTCGAGGCTATTTTCACAGGAATATGCCTCCGCGCTAAGCACATTCAAGCGTTTCCCGATTTTGCAAGATCTCTTCAACAGTCCAGCGCCGGTCCGCGAGAAACAATGCTCGCGCTCTCGACGATTCAACGATTTCGTTCGCTTTAATACGAATCGACGCCACGGTCTTTTCCTCCTTCGAGCGATCGTTTTCCCCGCGTTCCTCCTGCACCGGCGCAGGACTGGTCGATTTAGCGTCGGGAAGTCCTACGCTAAATAAATCTTATTATCGGACACAACGTCATCACTTTTAGGCACTACACCTAGGACTAATAAATCACTTCCGCCACCTCGGATGCGATAAGAAAAACAAAAAAAAAAGAGAGAAAAGAAGAAACGTATGTACACGCATTGAAAATGACCGAAAGGATCGGACGACTACGTGTCCGGTACACGTTAGTATCGGTGCTACCCGAACGGAAGGGATAACAACCATTGTGTTATTCATTTTGCGCGCAATCGTATGCGTGTGAATCATCATTGTCCCGTGCAAGTTCGGCTCGACACTTTTCGCTCTTGCTTTATCTCCCAAGCGCGAAAGTTTCGAGTTTCCGCGAATAATCGTCCCGAACACACGCTCCGAGCGTGAGCCGCGACTGAAATTGTTGTGACGGCTAACGGAAAACAGGCAACCCCTGCGAGTTTCTTCACGCGTGAAGAAACGCTCCTCTCGCCTCTCGATGCACTTTGCATCGCGCAGGCGGCCCGGCGAAAGAACCCTTCCAGGAGTCGATAAAAAACAAATCCTCCATCGGACCGCATCGGCTGCGCGCGCGCTAAACCGCATCGAAGAAGCGGAAGTGCCCGGACTGTGCACGCATCATCCGGCAATTACGACGAGAAGAAGAAAACAAAGTCAAGTCGCCGAACGGTCGCGCGCGATGCAAACGCGTCGGCCTATCGCCAACGTTGCTTCCACCGCGACTTACGACCCTCCTCCCCCCCTCCCGCACACAATTATAATATAATACGTCTGTTAGATTACACGATATACTTCTGTATGCTTTATGCCTCGCGCTAATATGTATACACGTCGGGCGCACGCGAGAGAGCCCGATCGAAGTTAACTGCGCACAACTATCGTCATTATAGTAAAATATCACAACTAGTTACGGTACCTTTGTTACTTATTTTTTTCCGTACACAATATTTTATAGCGCCTTTGCCTCTACTTCTTTCTATTTAAATAGTTTCTTCTGTGTTTGTGTGTGTGTGTGTGTGTGTGTGTGTTGTACGTGTACGTGTATGCACGAGTATTTACATTGTATAGTGTGATCTATGTCTCGAAAGTAAACAATAATCGCGAGGGTGTGAACGTGATTCGGAGCACGCGTTGACCGACGATTACGTGTCAGTAAAAAATTCCCAAGGGTCCTACACGAACACCGAATACGAGACGAAATCGAAGCTGAACCGGCCTGCTAAACACCGGTCCGCAAATACCGGCGTGTGTGTTGTAGCTTATATAAAATGGCGGATCTCATCGGCTGCCCTAGGAGTCTCTTCCACACGCGTGTATCTTCCACACATGCGCACACACACGCACACGCGCATACATACAAACACAAGCACGCATTCACCGACCATCCCCGCTGAGAGGGAAGAAACAAGCGTCCGTGGAAACGCAGGATGCATAACTCGAGTACCACGATGTATCCGCTAATTCGAATCGAGTCACATCGTCGAATGGGAGGGACGCTGCTCCAAGAGAAGATGGCTAACCTCCGTCGCTCGAGCGTGGACGCGCAAACGTCAACGCAAATCGGGATCGAAGGGGAAGAGCGGGCAGGATGAAGGACAAAAGCTGTGATCGCGCGGCACTTACGCACGCTCCTATCATCATCAAAGGACACGTGACGTTACGAGATAGGACCTAAGGATATGACTGTTTTTTCTTTTTCTTCTTTTTTTCCTCTTTTGTTTCGTTTTACTCACACGACTTGCGCGGACAGCGGGTTAATTCGAACACGTGTTAAGACTCGACTCGCCACTATCCCTACCGCCATATACATGTGTGGAAGCATACATGTATGTACATACACAACAATCGGGCATGGACCAATCCGCACGTCGGAACCGAAAAGTCGATGCGACACGCAACCATGTTGATTACGCGGTGATTATTAACCGCCTATTATGATAGCATCATAGCGTACTCAGTCTATACCGATGAAAAGAAAAGAACCTTCCTTTTTTCCTCTACTTCCTTCTCTCCCTTCCTTCCTTTTTTCCTTTCATCTCTCTTCCCCGCCTCTCTCTCCTCCCCGTCTCTCCTTACCTATCCCCCCCTCCCGTTCTCCATTTTTCATCATCCTGTTAATTACCCAGTGTAAATATGATTATTCGTTAAACAGGCACATCGAGTTGATAAAATATTTCTTCTTTTTCTTCCCTCGCGCACAACGCAAACGTATACGAAAGGATGTCGGGCGAATTGCTTAATCCTAAGACAAGGAGAGTAAACTTTGCGCAAGTGTGTAGAAAGAATCATCATGACAATAATAATAATAATAATAATAATAATCATAAGAAGAAGAAGAAGAAGGAGAAGAAGAGCGAATAGAAACAAACAAATCAGGATGCACGAATCGACACCGTTCGTAAACAAGTTCGATACTGTTAGATTATATCGACTCATCTGATGCCTCTCGATATAAAGGCACTCGAGAGATTTGCGAGGCTATCATGGACCCGATAGCCGAAACGGCCCTGCTCTATCAGTTAAATATAGTTAAATTGCAGTTGCATCTCGCGTCTGTCGTTTTCTTATTGTGTATCGCGCAAAGGGTTTCTTTCTCCTCGTGATACCGGAAACATATCTAAAAATCTGTTACAATTACGCTACTCTCTATATATCTTTATATATTTATGTATATACTCTGCAATCCCCCCTTCTCTTTCTCGCTTTCTTTCTCTCTCGCTCTCCTTGTCTCTCACACGCGCATCCACGCGCACACACATACACACATACACACACACTCTCTCTCTCTCTCTCCCTCTCTCTTTCACTCGCTCTCGCTCTTGCTTTCCGTTTCCCACTGTTTCGTTCTACGTGTAAAATATGTCGAACTCAACTCTAGACGCGAATCGCTCTAGACAACATACTGCAAGTAATCCCATATATACGCCTGGATATCTTACCGTTACGATTCTCTATATATTCGTTAATAAAGTTAGCAAAAAACAACGCCTAAATGTTACACGATACAGCATCACGAAATATACGTGTCAGCGATTGCGTACATGAGAACACCTGAAGTGATTCGAAGAAGAACCGCATCCCGCGGTGTATAGTCTACGATACCGATATACTTTTAGGGAGAGAACGGTGAATCGGAAAGTTCGCAGAATGAAAATCGTGTGGGTGAGATGCGAGAGATGCTGGCTCCTTCCGGCTTTTTTTGCGTATGCTAACGTAGAAAATGCGACGAGGAAGAACATGATCCGAGAACGAGAAGAACGAAACATTGTGAGAACACGCGCGCCTCCTCATCAAGTCTATATCTACAAATAGGATTCTCTCTCTCTCTCTCTCTCTCTCTCTCTCTCTCTCTCTCTCTCTCTCTCTCTCTCTCTCTCTCTCTCTCTCTCTCTCCCCCTCTCTGTGTGTGAAACGTTCTTATCGTGTATGTATATGTATATATATATGTAAGAAAGAAGTCTGCACCTCGCACGCGAAAAGAAATATGCGCAATACATGATTCTGCTGTAATGTAGCAAGATGAGAAATTCTTTAGAATAAGATCCATTACGATATTTTATTGCTGTTTGGCATATACTTCTCCCATAGCTTCCATCATGTTCCAAAAAATGATCTCTCTCTCCCCTGTCCCCCCTCTCTTTCTCGATTCTAATCCGCACATCTCGCGAAAAGACATCTCTAAACGCATCAATTTGTCTTTTCCACCTTACTGATTTGTGCAATGTACTGCGATGCATACATTCCCCTCCCCCCCCCTCCCAAACCTTTCCTTCCCTCTTTCTCCTTCTCTTACTTCCCTTTAATATCACTTCCGCCGTAAAATACGAAATATTAGTGCATGAGAAAGTAATATTAATGAAAGGCCGTTAAATTTATGTACAATTCACAAATCCTTCGAGGGGATTGCTGTCACAATTTCGCGCCTCGGGCAACAAACTTAAGGCAGGTCGCCCGCAACACGGTGGTTATCTGTACAATTCAGAACGAAACCGAATATTAATACAAACGAAACGATGATTAGTAGCAATGATGATAATGACGATGGAGACGGTGATGAGTGCAACGCGATGGCGATGATAAAACGATGACGATCACGGTGACTCGAGGACGAATCGAAATGATAATTATACAATAATATGAGAAAGTAATAAATAGCAAGACTGTCCCAAAAAAGGCACATCGAAGCTTTCGTCAATTCGGATGTCGTGTGATTATCTTATAAGATGCTCGTAACTCGATTATAAATCCCTCGTGTGTTAATTCCCGACACAAGTGCTCCTCGTACGACTAAGTTTACGACAACTTGAATAATTCTAACACGGAGAACTCGCCTAAGTTCCAAATACGTGATATAGTTAAGAGTGTGTCTGTCAAGTGTGTGTGTGTGTGTGTGTGTGTGTGTGTGTGTGTGTGTGAGTATGTTTGTTGCTACGTACAGTGTGTGGTGTTTGGCCGTGTTAACATATACACTCGAGTAACTCTCTGCAAACTATTTAGAACAACGCGGCTACCCCCCGTAGTTAGTCTTGCGAGTGCCCGTTACATCATATAAATAAAATACCGTAAAAGACTAAAGCGTTATACAACTGCTGGTAGCAAAATCCTTAATACAACGAGAAAAGTCCCACCGGCACGCAAAAACGAATCGCCGCGGTTCCGGCGATCCGAGAACTCTAGTACGCTACTACGGTTTTGTTAACGAGCGTTAAAAACAAGATACACAGATACACATCCGCGGCGTGTCCCGCGACGCGACGTCGTCGCGAAAGAAATGCAAAACTCATTCGCGCACACGAAACGAATTGGCGAATTCGTTAGCGGTTTTCACACACACGCGAATCGGCAATGCCACTATGCGCAACACATCTCTATCGTCCTATATCAATGCACACACCCGATCCATTCAAGCCGCCCGCCTAGTCCCGTATATATGTGTGTGTGTGTGTGTGTGTGTGTTTTGTGTATGTGTGTGTGTGAGTATATATACATGTACAATAAAGAGGAACCATGCGTGTAGGCGCAATTCAACGGATCGGGCAACTCGAATAGAAAATTTTGGTCTGTACACCTGTCGTCTCCTTAGAAACTCCCCTCGTTCAGTAATAAAACGTCGGAAACGTCGCGCGTCTCTCCGTCTTATTATCTCTGGAAACTTACGAAATATACAAATTGCCGCATGCGTCCCGAGAAAGAGTCGTTACGTCGCTTTCGATTACAAAAAAAAAAAAAAAAAGGAGAATCAAAAGAAACGAGAGCCGAAAGGGACGAGATTTCACGATCGATCGGTATTGTTCCTGATTTTCATTTTTTTCCCTTTTTCACGTAACCGCTCGCGCGTTAGGATGGGGATTTTACAGCATGTTCTCTCTCTTCCTCTTCCTCTCTCTCTCTCTCTCTCTCTCTCTCTCTCGCTCTCTCGCTCGTTTGATTTCCTCGTTGAGATTGTCGCAATGAGACGGTGGAATATCGCGTCGGGCGTGTAAGAAACGTAACAAACATATACAAAGAGATTTCAGTTACAACACCGACTGTGGTCTCGTCGCGCTTTGCTCTCCGCGAGGGCGATCGGAAGGGAATGCTTAGGACGGATTGTCAAAGTATTTTTTTCCATGGTTGTCTTTAAACGCGCCCTTGCTCTCTCGCGATTTCATTCGGCAAACACGCTCGCGATCGTTCCGCTCAGTCGTAAATCCCCGTGGGGGTGCACGCAGTGTCGCGCTGGCGGCTCCGGGTGAACCAGCGCCCACATAACAGTATCCACATGAATAGCGACTCGGAGGCGCATCCTCGTCGCTACGTTCTTCGCTTACTGATCGAACACGACAGTAAGACGGAAAAAATGTGGAATATGACGGAACGTGTTTTTTCGTTTCTCGCTTTCCCTCCATTTCTCTCTCTCTCCCTCTCTCTCTCTCTCTCTCTCTCTCTCTCTCTCTCTCTCTCTCTCTCTCTCTCTCTCTCTCTCTCTGCGTTCTCCGTTAAATCGGATTGTTTATGCGTTTAATGGATTGGCACGAGCGGCTCGTAAGTTCCCAGAAAGAAATCGTGCGGTCGTTCGTTCGCATTTCGACTCGCTCGTACGATTCTCATTTATTCGGCTCAACGGAAATAATTTACTCGGTGAACCACAAACCGGAAGGTTGGTATTGGTGCTTGGCTGGCGAAAGCGGGGTCAATCCGTAAACGGCTGTAGGCTGCATATGCGCAGGCAACGGATGTGCTGCGTGACTCGCCAGTAACGGTCTGGCCGAGCTGTGATGAGCTGGCGGTGGCAACGCTCGACTAGAATCATACAACGTTAATGGAGACGAGCTGTAAAAAACGGGATAACGTACGTTAGAAAGTCTCCATAAAGCTCTAAAAAAAAGGAAATCATACATTTTGTTTATAATATATATAAATCGTTCGTATACGGTGTATACTTCTCGGGGGTGAACTCAGGATGTACGAAAAACAATCGGCGACTCGCGGGCATTCTGCGAGATTCCGCACTCGGGACTGCTCGCCGATAGGAAGTCGGCACTTGGCTTCCTTGGTTTCCCGCACAAAAGACGCGCCGACGAATTCGACGCGATAAAAAAAAATACAATGTAGCGTCGAGAGTCTCCGTGTTGATATGTCAAATTTTCTACTCTACTCTTAACCCTTTGAATACTATGGATGTGTATACGGGTCCGACGACCGTCTGAAGCGTTGATTATCGACTATGTTTAAGGGTTAATTTCTTCAGTTCAGGGCCGTAGCAATAAGACGAGCAATAAGCGATTTGTTGCTCCGATCACAGGCTGCAATGTTAACATGAAAATCTTAGAGAAAAAACGTACATAAAAAGCGGTAAACAGTAAAACTTAACCCAGGGTTTCCCAACTATTTTTGTATTTCGCACCCCTAAAAATTTATTAATGAACCTTCGCACCCTTTACAAAAAAAATTATTCGTTTATTTTAATGGTAAAAATTAGTTGTTAGGATTTTAAGGTAAGAAGTTAATTTATAATAATTTATTATTACATAGTATTGTTTTATAGAAATTAACTATTATTTTAATATTATAAAATTATTATCCACAATATCAAGCTTCGCATAGTGATAGGTGATGAATATATACGTACAGATATAAAATATATAATTTTAATAATATTTTTTTTAATCTGATGATAAAAATGCAGGATTATTCCAGAATTCATCTTATCATCATTATTAATTACAATCACTTCTCCTCGCATCCCCAGGCGGTGCGAGCACCCCCGACTTGGGAACCCCTGACTTAAGTAGTGAGCAAATTGACTAATCAATTGATTATTCTCTCCATGGTCCGAAAATAATCCATTGTGATTGATCAATTTTCCTACTGCTTATAAGTCTTATTATTTAAATTTTTTATGCGCCTCCGACGCTAAGACCGCCTATTTAAAATTCTCGACACTGTGTGATTGATCAATCTGTTTCTGTCTTATTTAAGTCTTGCTGCTTATGCTTCTCTGTGTATCATTAAACCGAAGAAATTAAAGAATAATTATATTCTCCATAATTCTCAAATGCAACCGACTAATTCGCTTATTGCTTAAGGTCTGTATTAAATAGTCTGTACTTGAAACTGGTCTCGAGAAAATTTTCAGACCCGAATTTGGAGTTAAATCTAAGCTCAGTTGAACCACACATAATATGCGTGGCGTTACATTTACAATCGCGATTCACACTGAAAAATCCAAATCTCGTTCCAAACCCCAATCAAAGTGTTTCACTTGAAGCCAGTTTCAAGTGACGATTATTAACATGGACCTGTGCTCTACAGTTTATGTTTTTCTACGCGCTACCTGCTTTATACTTTGTGGCGTACAAGCAACGATAATTATCAACATTTGCGATGGACATATACGTTCATACTATTTTATGTATTCTAGCAACAGTAATGAAAGTTCTATTTGCCTTGATGCATTGTTCCCGATTTTCTAGAAATTTCTTTTATTTCCTTTACCGATTGATTTATGACAAACTAAAGCATTTCTCTTTTAGCGAACATATCGTTAATTCACAAGCTAAATTCCGAAATGTGCAGACGGCATTGGGAATCTATAGTTCACATTATCTACATTATGGATTATTCGGCACTGTCGGTACATTTTGAAACATATCTGTAGTAAGTGTTTAGCTTTGAATGCTCCATACTCAAAGGGTTAAACCGGAAGCAGAGGAGAATGACATACTTTTCATTATTAATGCAACGTCACTGTTGACGCGAAATCTAATAAACATTCTGATATAACGCAATGATAAATAAACACTGCTTTACAATGACACAGAACAAATTTGTCCCAAGTGAAGTCAATAAAAAGCAATATGGGAAAAAATGATTACATATGATCACATATAATTATATATAACATTATATTTATACAGATGTATAAAAAGTACCGAAACAGTGAAATATCTCGAAAACCAAGTATTTTAGAAAAAAATATTTCAGACAAAGTTGTATAGTTTCAAGGGGGACATAAAACAATTACATCATTTCGTTTAAAGATGGCGCAATTATCGATTATTATATTCACTGATTATTACTTTTCTTAAGTGGAAATCCCAATTTTTTATTGTATCATCTTTTTTTACCAATTAATTTTAACGACTATTGTCTGAAACATTTTTTTATTTGTCTAATATTTTTTGAGACATTTAAGGAAAATTTTTTCAACATTTAACTTACAATATCTCGCTAACTATTCGTCGAAAGAAGAAATAGTACTATAATATAAATAGTAACAGTACTATAATATAAATAAATAATACTAGACTTTTATACTCTATTTAGTCTCAAAAATATAATGTTACAATAGTGCCCTAACTTTTGTTAACTTATCGAACTTTGGAAATATCAAAATTATCAAATTAACAAAAGTTTGGACGCTATTGTAACAATATATTTTTAAAACCAAATAGAGTAAAAGTTTCTAGTACCACTTTTTCTTTCGACAAATAGTTAACGAGATATCGTAAGTTGAGTGTTGAAAAAGTTACCAAGTTTTCCTTAAATATCCCAAAAAATATTAGGCAAATAAAAAAATGTTTCAGACAAAATTTATTAAAATTGTTAAAATTGTTACTAGTGGAAAAAGATAATACAATAAAAAATTCGGATTTCCATTTAAGAAAAATAATGATTAGTAAAATAATGATCAGTGAATATCTCAAAAGTGGCGCTATCTATTAACAAAATGATATAGTTGTTTTATGTCCCCCTTGAAACTGTACAACTTTTGTTTGAAACATTTTTTTTCTAAAATGGTCAGTTTTCAAAATATTTCATCATTGTTCTGATTCTTTTTATATACCCTGTACATAATTAAATATAATCATATATGTGAATTTCGCCTCTATATGATCGCATAGGAAGTTATATACATGTCTACATAGAAAAGAATGCTGAATGAAAAAAAGAAAATGGTTTCGCTCAAGTAACGTCGACATCGGAAGATGCCACAAATATAAGAAAGCATTTCTATCGATTTTGTATCACGCGTTTCCGTCGTAGACATATATGTAAAATATGTGACGCAACTTTATACATTTGTTCATGTGCAAATAAATCCAATCATACTAAGCGAAAAAGTCCTTTACCATTTTGCAAACTATAACTGTGATAACCATGTTAACTATTGAGATATCAATTACAAAAAATTATGAATGAGTGTACATGATATGGTAGAACGAATTCTTAAAGTCTTATCCAAAATGTCTGATTCTTGGCAACGGCAGTGCGTCATGCTGAATAGTGCGAAGCTGCATTATGATACTGCCCAGCATTATACGCCAGCCGTCGTTGCCAAGAGATTGTCAATAAACTTGAACATCTCGAATAAAATCTCGCCTAGAGCTCGTCTTATCGCTTCATGCACACTCATTTTCCAATTTTCTAGAATTAATATCTTAACAGCTGTCGTGGTTGTTTGCGAAGTTATATTTTACGACTTTTTCATGCAATTTTTATAGTTTTACCTGCAGCGGAGATATGAATGTATAATCATAATTAAACATATAATTATATATAGATGCAAGACCCGACAATGCTCATGTTTTATATATACAATAGATTTGAGCAAATTGAATAAAAAAGTACTATACTCCATTTTGCCGCAAAACTGAGTTACTAATTAAAGAAGATCGATGAATGATCGCGTATAATACGATAGATGAACTATGATGGCGACATCTGCCGTCACATGCTCGTAGTAGGTTAGGTCAAATCAAACTGAAAAAGAAAGTCCTCGTCTATTTTACAAACAACTACGTACAATTTTAAGTTACTAATTAAAGAAGATTAGCGAATTATCGTCAACGCAAAGATCGTAAGATAGTAAAGGACTTTTGTGCTCAATTTGACTTAATCTACATATACAAACACATTGTGTTTTGCGTCAGACACTCTGTATGCGATTATATAGAGATGAAATTTATACATAATAATTTTTTGCTGAGAAGTTTTCTCCGCAACACCGAATAAAGTAACACGGGAAGAATTCCTTCTTATAAATTCATCTATAAAAGGCCCAAGTGCGCGATTCCTGTGATGCGAGAAGTCTGTGCAACTCTCTATTACGCGAATACTACTATATCGTTTTCCTAACCCTTAGACTGCGAGGTATGTGGAAACTCTCACTTTCATAATGTTAATGCATGAGGTTAGCCTAAAGATGCTGTTCGCATCAGTGAGTTCTATAGTATACTGAGAAATGAGTCTTCGAAATATTAGACTGTTGAAAAATATTAGATACTCCGATATATATATACACATACATACATACATACATACATATAAATATATATATCGAATATATATATATATATATATATATATATATATATATATATATATCCGAATCTCACTTCAAATGTTAAAAGTGCTACCAAGTACAACTAGCATCTATCTGTCCATTTCTTGGAGGCTCAGTCTAGTATATTATGGAATCCCACTTTGCTCGCTCACAATTGATACTGAATGTCGCCTTTAGGCATCGTTCGCACTCTAAGGATCAGAATACTAAAGACAAATCTACGATAAAATGTACTATTTCGCAGAGTGTGCAAACGTAAACACCCATTTCCTGCGAGTACCCTCTTCCGACTCAAACGTTACATGCTACGATACGCAGTGCTCACAAGAGAGAAGCTCACTATCGCGACTCTACTTCGAGAAATTGCACACAAACGACATATATACAGTGATACATACATACATATATACATACATATATATATATTATATATATATATATGTATATATATATAGTTAATTCTAGAAGAACGTAGATATAATAAATGGTACACACATGCATGTGTCATTTAGATGTCTAGGTACCCACCCGGGTGTAAATCCCTGATAGGTGGGCACTTGTTGCTGCTGGATAGCAGTGGCGGCCTGCGACGGTGCAGCGGTAACGTACACAGGCGGTGGCACCGCATGGGGCCTTGAGCGTACATGAGCGTACTCCTGGTAGAGGGGTTGCCCCAGGTGCTGGGTACTCCCTATCACTGCCCCGCTTGCAGGACTTCTGCCTCCGCCACCGCCACCAGGACTCAGGTGAGCCGGATGTCCGTGATGGCTGTGGGTATGGCTCGGATGGGCCGCCGTACCCACTACCTGGCTCTGCCTACAACAGGCAAAACAAAACCCACCCCGTCGTTATGCAATTTACATGCCTCCATTACTTACTGCAATACGTTTCTTTAAGAGGGACCGGAAGAGCCGTCTACGAACGCGCTTTCGAGGCATTCGCAAGCTCCTCTTTCTCTCTCTCTCTCTCTCTCTCTCTCTCTCTCTTCCGGTTCTTTTCCCGAAGTTCGAGAACAAGGTGAAGGAGAGAGTAAACTAGTTGATTGAGGTGAGTTTTATTTTCAGAGAATCGTCTGAAGATTCTCGCATGCCGTTTACTTGCCCAAAGTGCGTGAGTCAAACTCGTCACTTTCGTCTCAGCTCGGTCGTTTCACCCGGCGAGGAAGAAGAAAGTTCGCATGCGTGTAACACACGTCGGTTACCCGACGAGGGCATGCACCGTCGTCTATGTGTTGCGTCGCGTTAAAATCGTTCCAAAGTTCGCCTCGCGACTAATGCTACATGCCTCGATGAGAAAGACGCACGGGCGAGAGAAGTGATCATGCCGAGGTAGCGGACACTCACCTGTACTGATGCACCGGATTGGCTACGACCCACTTCTGATGGTCTCTCGAGTGAGCGGCCGGTGGTTGAACATACTCGTGCTTGTATTCCGCCCGCTTGCCGGGCCAAGACACTCGCTTGTCCGTGCCAGTCGTGTACACGATATGCTGTTCTTGAAGGTGGGGGTGCGCACTACTCGTGGTCACATACTGCAAGAAGTAGTCATGCATGTCATAGACGTCATCCTAGAAAAACATTACCTACAGATTAATCAGGGAGAAGGGAAGGAAGTGAGGAAAGAAACCGGCTGACGGGCGGTCCTCGAGCATTCTGCAAGATGCCAAATGAAAACAAAAGAAAAAAAACGGATCCGCGACTCCCGGAGAAAATCGCGAACAAATTTGGGATACAGCGAGAATAGCTGATTAGGTGTCGATAGAGATGTCCAGTGACTTACCTGATAGGTCGGTGGCTCTTTGCAGGCTGGCGCGTGACACGGATGCGGAGCTAAATACTCGACACCGGGCTCCGGTTTCGTCGCAACGTTCACCATATTGCACTCGGACTGTACCTTCGCTAACAGCCGTTTCTTTTGTGACTGTGAAGAGTACCCTGAACTGCTGCTGCTGCTGCGGGTATGAAAGATACAGATGTGTGTGTGTGTATGATATAATCCAAACACATTTTACATGTACATTTTACAAAATACGAGATTAGATATTTTAACATTACAAATAATCATAATTTAATTCTGATAATATATAATTAGCGACTAATCATGTTTATTCAACACTTGGAGTGTGGAACAGTATGACGAAAATATACAGAGTGTCATTTTAAGGTGTATGTGTGTGTGTATGTGTGTGTTATCCATATCAATAACTTTCTTATTTTTGATTGTATAAACAAATATTTCAGACAAATAGTTTCAAGGGGGATATAAAATAACTATATCGGTTTGTTTCTAAATGGCGCCACTTTTGAAATATTTACTGATCATTACTTTTCTTATGGAAACTCCAATTTTTTATTATATCATTTTTTTCTACCAATTAATTTGAACAACTTTTGTCTGAAACATTTTTTTTATTGCTTAATATTTTTTGAGATATTTAAGGAAAACTTGGTAACTTCTCCAATATTTAACTTACGATATCTCGCTGTTTGTCGGAAGAAAAAGTAGTACGAGACTTTTTTACTCTACTTGTTTTCAAGAGTTTATTGTTACAATAGCACCCTGACTTTTATTTATTTATTAATTTGATGATTTTGAAACTTTCAAAAATCGATAGGTTGACAAAAATTAGAGCACTATTGTAACAATATATTCTTGAGTCCAAATAGAGTAGAAAAGTCTAGTACTATTTTCTCTTCCGACAAAAAGTTAGTGAAATATCGTAAGTTAAATGTTGAACAAATTACCAAGTTATCTTTAAATATCTAAAAAAATATTAGGCAAATGAAAAAATGTTTCAAACAAAGTTGTTAAAATTAATGTTGTTGTAATTGGTAGGAAAAGATGATATAATAAAAAATTGGGGTTTCCATTTAAGAAAAGTAATGATCAGTCAATATCTCGAAAGTGACACCATCTGTAAACAAAATAATACAGTTCTTTTATGTTTTCCTTGAAACCATAAAACCATACAACTCGTGTACGAACATTTTCTTCTCAAATGTCTTGTTTTCCAGATATTTTACTGAAAAACAGCCGCTATTTTAAAACAGCCGCTGTTTTTAAACAGCGGCAATTAACCAAAACATCTAATATACAGTGCGTCCAAAAAGTCACGCTTAAAAAACACATTTATTTCAATTATAAAATGAATCGATTAATTAATCAAAATATTTTCCATCGCTTTGTATTACTTTTTCCCATCTTTCTCATAAGAGACGAATTCCGTAGCGATAGAACGACTCAGGTTTTGAAGCAATCCATTCATCCACCCACTTTTGAACTTCTTTGTAATTTCGAAAGCGTGTGTCATGAAGGCCATGCTGTATTCAATGGAACAAACGGTAATCAAACGAAGCCAGGTCTGGAGAATACGCGGCATGAGGAAGAACTTCCCATTCGAGCTCTGTCAATGTTTCCTTGACGACTTTTGCAACATGTGACCGGGTATTATCGTGCAACAGAATCACTTTTCTTTTGTTTTGTGCGATTTGTAAGAGGCTGACCACGCATTTTATTCTTCATCATAGGGAACAGGAAGAAGTCATTAGGTAATAAATCAGGACTATAAGGACAATGAGACATTAATTCGATATTTTGAAGCTTCAAATAATCGACCGTTTCAGCTGTTGGGTGAGAGCTTGCGTTGTCATGATGCAGGATGATTCGTCTTCTCGCGTTGTTTTTCTTAACTTCGCCGATAATTTCTGGCAAACAAACTGTCGTGTACCAAACGGTATCAATTGTTCTTCAATCTTCTAAAGTCACAATAGCAACATATGACCAGTAAAACCGAAGAATCAAACGATCTTTTTTTTTTTAGACATTTCGAGAACGAATAACTTTTGTTGGTTTCAATTCATTTTGAAAGACCCAAACAGCCGATTGGTGTTTAGTTTTAGGCTTAAATGAATATGTTCACGTTTTATGTTTACCTCTGACGATGTTGTACCAGATTTGACGAGCTTCCACTGAATTTTTTTAGCACCTTGCACCATTTCACACAGTTCTGTTTTTAAGCATCGGTCAAATTGTGAAGAAAATCCAACGAGCACAAAGCTTCTTTACATTCAAATGTTGTGCAATATGTATGTATTTGTTTCATGTCGATGATTAGGGATGATTCAATCTTACGATATGTTACATGCCGATTCATCTCTATCATCTCGCAAACAGTATCGATGTTTCCTGGAACAACAGCAGTTGGCGGATGGCCTTCACGAAAATTATCACTAAAACTACTACGTCTACTTTTGAACTCTTGAAACCAGCGATAAACTGTAGTTTTTGATGCTGCTTCATCACCAAAAGCCACAACAAGCAGTTCCATACACTGTTGTTGAGTTAAATTATTCCGAAAATCGAAGATCATCGCACGAAAATGTTCTTGATTTAAATGCAATTTTTTCACTTTTTATCGACTTAATCACTTTATCTTCTTCTTTTTCGAGTACGATAACTATATTTTAATACTGTTTTATATTGTTTCATTACTTGCTGATTGTAACCGTAACATAACAATAACATAACTTCAATATAACATATATAACAAGTGTAGCATTCGCATTACGTCTATGTTTGTAATATTTTTTAATACAAGTCGTCAGATCAGTCGTTGGATAGTTGTTTCTCGTACACACAAGATATGCTGCATTGACGTATGTAAAAACAGTGATCACAGAACGTCAAAATTTATACTTTTTAATGATGATAGTTACTGCTACCAGCAACAATCCCTCTTACCAAAATATAATTTATGGTAACTAACTGATCAATCTAGATACGACAAAATAATTTTATATTATACCTATTAAGTATCATATTTTTTATATAGAATAATTATTATGTTTTTAGAAACTTTTGCAAACATCTTTATCTATATCTAAGCACATCTACTTATGCGGAACCATCAAACTCATCAAACTGAGTAAAAGAGTTCCTTATTATCTTGCAAACAATCGTAAAATTTCAGATTATTGATAAAAACAAATTGGACAATGAGTGCGCATGATGCGATGAAACGAGCTCTTTAAACAGGTCTAAAGTAATGTCTTGTCGAAGATGTCCGAATCAATTGACAATTTCCTGATAACAACAGGCGACGTGTAACAGCTAGGCGATAAAAGCTTGCATTATGTGGTCCAACGTTACGTAACTATTACGTACTGCCCACCGTTGCCAAGAGATTGTCAATTTATTCAGACATCTTCGATAAGATTCTGCTTTAGATCAGTTTATAAAGAGCTCGTCCCATCGCAACATATACACATTCATTCACCAAATTTCTTTCACTAATAAGTCAAAATTTTTTCTAGTAGTTATTTGCAAAATGGTGCAGGGCTATTTTTTACTTTAACGAATTCTATCTCTGTGTACAAGCGGACGTGCGCATCAGGTCAGACATGGCATTATATAATCTGCTATACAGGGTGTCCCATTTTAAATGAGTCAGGCAAAAATCTCGGAAAATATGAAAGATGCTAAAAAACGTTTCAGACAAAAGGCATATGGTTTCAAAGCGGACATAAAACCACTATTGTATATCATTTTGTTTACAGATTTACAGACGCCACTTTTGAGATATTCACTGATCATTACTTTTTTAAAATAAAAATCCTAATTTTTCATTATATTATCTTTTTTTACCAATTAATTTTAACAACTCCTATTCTATTCTAACTTCTGTTTGACATTTTGTTTAACATATTTTTATTTGCCTAATATTTTTTTAGATATTTAAGGAAAACTTGATAATAACTTTTTCACCATTTAACTTACGATATCTCGCTATTTCTCGGAAAAAAAATAGTACTAAACTTTTTTTACTCTATTTAATTTTAAGATTATATTGTTACAATAGTGCCCTAATTTTAATTAACTTATCGACTTTTGAAAATTTCAAAATCATCAAATTAACAAAAGTCAGGACACTATTGTAACAATATATTCTTAAAACCAAATAGAGTAAAAAAGTCTAGTACTACTTTTTCTTCCGACAAATAGTGAGATATCGTAAGTTGAATATTGAAAAAATTTGTCTTAAATATCTCAAAGAATATTAGGCAAATAAAAAATGTTTCAAACATAAGTTGAAAAACTTAATTGAAAGTAAAAAAAGGATGATATAATAAAAAACTAGGATTTCTATTTAAGAAAAATGGGGCCATCTATAAACAAGATGATATAGTTGTTTTATGTTCCTGTTGAAACCATACAACTTTTGTCTGAAACGTTTCTTAGTATCTTTCATATCTTTCGAGATTTTTGCCTGGTTTATTTAAAATGGGACAATACTGTATACATTTATATTGCGTATTGTATTTCGTTATGTTGCAACAGGCCTGCGGCTGAGTTGCATTTTTCAGTCGATTTCTTCACTCCTCTCGTTTGAAAGCATCTAGGCTGCTCGTGGAAACATACACAATCTGTCTGATAAATAACCTGAATTTTTGTTACCGACAGTATAAGCGTCAACATTATTTCTGGTGGATTGTCTTATATTCGAGTTGCAAATTGTTAAAACTTTAACGAAATTAAACGATACGTTCAACAATTACCGAGATTTCAGTAAGGATGGACGCTGTCACGTAAATGTGATGTAATGAAGAGTAAGTATCAAATTCTATTTTGAGAAAACGATCGCGCAAACACTTGAAACGTCAAGGGAATGTTATAGCGGTAAATTGTATGTTGCGAGCACAATTATTTGAGCGCTACGGACGCTTCAAAGACGACGACGAAAGTGTCAAAATAGTGCAGAAATGCGGGAATTTGTTCCAGAGGGTCAAAAAGTTACTGGCAAATTCTATTTGGATGTTTCGAAACGTTTGTAGAAAAGAATTACACGAGCAAAATCCGAATACAAAGAGCCTGGCAGCTAATTTCTCTTGCATGACAATGCACCGTGGTCAAGCAGTTTCTGGCACGAAGACAAGTGCGCTTTTTCGCAACAATCCACCTTATTCTTCAGATTTAGTGCCAAGCAATTTTTTTTGTATTTCCGAAACTGAAAATTCCGACAAAAGAAAGCTGATACAATAAAACAATCAAAATCACACCGTGGCAAAGATACTCGGGGCCATTCCGAAATCAAAGCTCCGAAAGTCGCTCATTACTTTATCATTTCCAGTGCTGTATCGATACAGAAGGAACATATTTCATATAGAAAAAAAAATGTATATCAACGCGACCATTGTTTCATGTTTTATAGCGTCAGTCCGGTTATTTATCAGACTCTTGGGAGCGCTCAGAGATAATATTGATAAAAATCTTTGATGCAAGTACTGCACCGCGTTCAGAGTTATTGTTGTCTCTATCGTTATTACTGTTGTCATTAATAAAGACATAAAATTAAAAATAACACTGAAATGGAGCACGTATGTGTGTAATTGTGTACATATGTGTTTCAAGGGTATTGTGTAATAAGATGCGAGGAACTTATTACATTGTTAATAGAGCAAAGAAGTATACAAATTTTCCGTCCTTTTGCAACTAGACAAATTTCGCTTGCGGGACCAGAAAGTTAACTTGTGCTAGACGCCCCCTTCAGTCGCGAGCGCCTCAACCGATTAACATTAAAACCCTTACTGTACACCTAGGGTCAAGTGGACCTCAACAAACTGTTAAACATCAAAAATATTTTTTTATATCAATAATAATCATGAATACTTGAAATTTCTTGGAGTTCGATTTTTTCAAAAAATTCCCTGCTTCGTATGTCAAAATAATGTTCGTATTAAAATTATTCCAGAAAAGCTGTTGGCTCTTATTTTAGATTTCAAAAACATCCTCAATTTTTTCGAATCAAAATATCCAATAGAATATGCGTCGTAATGGCAGTTTTAATCGTTAGGATCCCGCTGTGTATCATATTAAATTACTCGGAGGTGTAAACAGTAAAGGTACAGTAAAGGTTAACGTCATCAGCATCCGTGAAACATCTACCTGCTAACGTGGTGTTGCTGCTGAGGCTCGTGCTTGATCAACTGCGTGGTCTGCTGATGCTGCGGATGCTGCGGCAGATGTTGGTACAGATGGGCGTGCGTGCGGCTAGGGCTAGCCTCGCCGTCGCTATCACCGACGGTCACGCAGCTGATGACGTTCTTGCGCTGCGCCCGGTGCGACGAGCTGTTGTGCGTCGCGACATGTCCGTTCGTATGCTGCTGATTGCTCGTATGTGTCTGCTGCATCGTCGTCTGCACAACGCGCGGAGTTGATTGTGTGCTGCAATTCAGAGAATGGACACTACGTTATTTCCCCTCTTGGTTGTTACATGAAAATCGCAATCATTGTCGCGTGATTCGACTGCAGCAGGTTAGCACCGCGTCCACATCAAATATATCACATGCTGAAGATTCGTGTATATGTGTGTGTGTGTGTGTATGTGCATTGTGTGTGCATGTGTGTGATGTTATTGATTGGAAAAGACTTTTTGCGTTAGTCAATAACCGTTTCATGCCAAGCTTCACATCCAAGATCCCCGAGTTGCTCGTGTCCATCCCATGGTGTGACCAAATATACAAATATTTTATTGTTGTACGTTAAAGGTGAGACACGAAGATGTCTTGCCGGCTTGATGTCGCGCATATCCCCGAAAGATGATTAACAAATAAATACACGATGGTGATTCTCTCGCTTTTACTTTTAACATTCCTAGCAGTCCGTCGAGGACAGGAGATCGAATTAGCCCTTCAGGCAAAGCATATACGTCGTGGAGGAGAACTGATTCCGAACAACTCGACGGCAGAAGTCCATTCGACGATCAGTCCTCCTCCACTCCTCGTGGAAACGTTCAGCTGGTTAATATCCCACATAACCGTGTGCTCTCCGCAAGGCTCGTTTAATCATCGTTAATCACGTTAAACACCGCCCTTTTGAGGCATATTACATTAATGTACCTTCGTATGACTTCTTCACGGACAGGGCGTCCGTCGCCCGATAAGCGAGTTGCCAAACTTTGACAGGCGCTGCACTGACGGTCTCCGCAGCTGTTAACGATATTCACGTATGATTCTACTCTTTCCCTCTCTCTTTCTCCCCCTCTCTCTCTCTCTCCCTCCCTCTCTCGCACTCTCTTGCTCTACCGACTGATAGTACTTTTAGAAATACGTGGGCTTAATCGAATACCCCCAAGAGAATGACCTTTCTTTGGGACAATAATAACTTTGACGACATTCTTGACCAAATTTGAGATTTGATGAAATTCACCGATATCAAATAGTTGTCTTTTTCTTCCTCGCTTTCTGCTTAAGGTCTATCAGACGCTTCATCAGAGACTTCAGAATATACGAGCTATATGATTAATTTCGTGTGTAAGAAACGCTCCAAAGTCTACAAAGCGTCTAACAAATCGTGCTCTCAGTTTTTTACTCGAGAGAGTGCAAATTTCTCAAAGGATCAAAATTGCTGTAATTTTCGATAAATTCGATTTTTAACGTTACGAACAAATACGTATAAGAGGACCTTGGGTCAATTGTTGCGTTTTATTCGCGAATAGATATAAGGCTCGTATCGGGCAGTTAATCCGGTAACATTTTAAACCATTATTTCGGAATATATGACAATGTTTATACGGCAATCTAAAACCAGTTCAGGGATACTTGTAATCTACATTCATATAAATTGCATAAAACCGATTTCCGTTGTGTAACTATTGACGTTACATGTATAAATAATCACGTCATAATTATACAATTAATAAATAATGCTATATAAGTAACGCACTAGTAGTTACAATATTGAGAACAATCGAATCGCTAGTCATATAAAGTACAGTTATTTCCTAAATAATGTGCACAGGCGATCATAATCTGTAAAATCTATCAAATTATTTATCTCGTCTTAGATGAATGTCCCAATTTGTGATAATAGCATCAGTTTTCCTTAATAAATCAACTAGTACGGATACATATTTACCCCAAACATATGTTCTTACTCTAAATTTTGTTATCGTTTATAACAAGTTTCAAATATAACTAAAAGCTATGTAATGTAAATGTTGGGACATCATAATTATAAAAGATATTCCTAATAATGAGAGTTCGAACAATTATTCGCCGACATGTTAAAAGTTGACAGCTGATATCAAATGTCTACTTAAATCTTAGAGGTCTGTACAATTATTCTTCGAAACTAACCTATAAACAAAAGGAAAGCAAAACTAAATTGTCATATCACTAAATTTTAGATTTTTCTAAAAAAAATATATGTAAATTAAGATCTTTCCATAAATTAGGAAAAATACAACACGATTGAAAACTCAAACGTTTAAGCTTTCCGACAAGATCAACTTTGAATACTTAGCTAAACACGTATGTCATTAATTTATTAATATATTTTACAATACTTACTTACAATAGTTACTTTGTCACTAATTGGGGAACATTCACCTAATCGATCTTACGAAAAATTTTGTCAAAGTTATATCTTTTAGTCATTTTTGGTTGAATATCGATAGAGCCTTACTCATCTTTTAGTGAATTGCGATATCTATATAGGCAAAATCTGGTTCAAGCTACTGTGTAAACATAGTTTACACGTTGCATCGTGTTGTGAAACATCCAAATAGTAATATCGATACGTGTACTCACCATTTTCCTGGAGTCTCATCTTCACTGTCACTAATCGTGATGACAGAAACGGCCGGCGAAGGTGTGTCGTGAATCGTGATAGTCTGCTGCCGAACAGTGGTGACCTGTTGATGCTCCACGTTATGACTGCTGCTGTTATGGCCGTGCTTGTGATTGCTACTGTGATGATGCGACTGCACCGGCTGCTCCTGCCAATGACTGCTCGATGTCGGCGAGTGCCTTCTCATACTACTCGGCGGTGTGCTCTCTTTAACCCGTTTCTTTACAGGGCTTAATTGTTGCGTGTCCTTCTTATGATCGTGCCTGTGTTGTGGTTGCTGTACGGAGGGTACTGTAACATGATGCTGATGATGTTTCGTGACAGTACGCTTGCCCCAGCTTTGCGAGGGATGTTCAACGAGCGCACTAGCATTGTACACTTCTGTGACGGGAAACACTGGCCGCTGATCCTTCCCCAAAACAAGGGAGATTAGTTACAAACTGGGCGTTAAGAAGTCGACTTACAGATCAAATATTCAGACGAAGAAACATGTTCAATGTGTGAAACGCGAGGAGAGAAAAAGAGAATGGCACATTTACGATAACATAATGACAAGAATATTATACAGACAGTTCAACTAGTTAGTTATCTTACCTGTAATATGGCAGAGCTATCAACGATAAGTGGCCTCCCCCAGTCTCCAGCGTCGCTGAGCAGCGGTTGTTGAATGGCTGCGTGCTGCGGCGGTAATTGCTGCCACGATGGTACAATCGCAGCCATCTGACGACTTCCGCCAGGCCAAGATGTTTGCACCGCATTCTATCGGTCGCCGTAAAGAATAACACGCGTGTCAGATTAGTGATGGCATTAGTCGCTCGACAGCTACGCGCTATATTGTTCTTCAACTTACGGTGAGCAACATCTGCCGACCAGTTTCAACCATAGATACCGGAACCGCAGCATACTGTTGCTGAGCAGCCGCGGCCGCCGCTGCTACGGCTTGCTGCGATATGATCGACGGTTGAATCTGCAGAGGAGCTTGCTGCGCCTGTGGTGGCTGCAAGACAAAATCGTAATCAATGATTGACGACTAACAACTGCTTGACCAACGGACGCCAGATATTCATGTACAAATAATAATCATCCTGTACTCTTACTTGAGCGACAACCACATGCTTAGCAGGACTCGGCATCGTCTGGTAGCCAGGAGGCGGACATAGTATGCCGGGCACCAGTTGATGTGGAAAATCGTGCACGCCGCTTCGTCCACTGTTCGATCCACTGGATGAACCGCTATACTGTGTTGCCCGGCGACTGCTGTTACTATATATTTGGTACTGAAAACGAATTTTCAAGATGTAAGCGTATAGACGTTATGTTCCTCTTCTCATAAATTTCAATTTGGGTAAAGTTCGGTAAAGATATTCAGAAGATTTGTCTTAAAGCACCCTAATGATATTCGTTATTAATGACCTATTTTGGAATTAAAAATCAAATCAAACTTTCAATTTAAGTTTTGCTCAGATATACTTCATCCGAAACTAGTTAAAAGTGTATGCATTTTCCTACATTTTGCAAACGCAATTTTCAAACAAAGAAAGATATCGAAGATAAACAGCCAGCAAGAATAAAAGGTTAATCAGAGATGGATATTGAAAGCGATAATTTAGATCTTAGCGGAAAGATAAAATTGTCCGACAATGTTATATACATGCCGGGCTTATTTTTCAGACATTCAACACATAGATATTGTACAGTTCACTTATCCACAGTCGACAGTACTTCTCACATCGAATCGATCCTTTATACCCTTCGTGATTAATGTTTCAAATATTAATACTCCCACTAAATATACAATATTGTTATTCATTTGAATTTCCGAAATTTAAATCGTGGGAAGCCCATCTTCCTCATTGGCTCAGAACCCGAAAAATATTTCTGAATCAGAATTTTTTACTCCAAATGAACTCTACAACTATGGTGCATTAAGTACTGTACGATAGCTTCACGACACTTTGTATAAAAAATGGGATTATTGAAAAAAAAGAAAAAAACATTTCTCCCCACAAAGGATATCCGCTGAAAATCTAATCATGAGGATATAGAGATAAATTCGACTCAAAGATAAATTCGACGTGATATGACGTATCTTTTGGTTAAAAATAGAGTATTGTGAGTGAGAGTGTCAACGTACCAAGTTGTCATAGCCCGTCTGCGCGGTGCGGTGCTCCCTAACTAATCGCTGCACCTGATTGGTCAATTGATTGTTGAAGGTGAGAGTCACCGCGCTGCCGTTTGTAGTCGGTACAAAATTGGCTACCAAAGACGTTGGTGGAGGTGGCTGAGGCGCTGGCGGTGCCTGATGATGCGCCGGGCTCGCGGTGAAATCTCCCGCGCGCCTGCAAACCTCCATCATCTGGACGGAAGCTTTGACGTTGTTACAGTGCGCGTAATCGACTAGGTGTGCCAAAGTAACAAACGCATGGTTCAGAGCCTCGCCGGGTGTTATACGGCGCTCCTACGTATTATGCAAACATAACAGATGTGATAAAACATTTCTTTTTGATCCTCGTATATGCAAACATACATGTGCGCGCTCTCGCGTGCTTACGACAATTATTTCCGTTTAATATTCGCACGCTGTCATGTCGTACCGAGAGCATCAATTAGATATTACTACCTGGTCCATTGTGAGCATCCTCTTCAAGAGGTCAATAAATTCTCTCCTGTCCGCCTTTTCCGGTAAAAGCTGACCACCGTCTAAATCAGTCGGTACGTTAACTTGGCCGATATCGTCAAGGCAATTAAAAATATATTTCCTCGCTTCCTTCGATTTGATACCAGTCTCCGCTTCGTGCTCTTCCGGTGTCTTCAAGCGCCAAAATGGATATGTACCTAGAGGACGGAAAACAATCGGTGTCGTGGTTCAGAAGGCAAACAATCGCGAATGCTGCTACGATTCACTGCGTGCACAATATGCAGCAGCAGATTGAGTGTGTATTATACGCACTGTCCATGTCTCGGTAAAAGAATTTGGTTGTTTTACTGGCGTTGTTCAGCATGTGCTCTGTTGGTAGGCCCTGCGTTTGACTTATATATCGAATCTGGTCGTATTCAGAGCTGCCCGGGTACAGAGGCCATCCAAGAAATAATTCTGCAACCACACACCCCAGCGACCACATATCTATCGCTTCGCAATACGGAAGCCCAAGTATGATTTCGGGCGCGCGGTAGTATCGCGATTGCAGATAAGTATTGCAGACGGCTTTGGACACGTGCGAGGCTGATCCGAAATCGATGACTTTCACGCGGTACGGCTGGCGCATTGGATCCACCAACATGATGTTCTCTGGTTTCAAATCAGCGTGTATCAATCCTAATTGCTGTGACATAAAATCGATTAAAATTCATTACGATTATTATCATTGTTGAAGTGATAGTTTTTGATGAACGTAAGTGAGATGCTACACTGCCGCGTTGACTTCTTTTTAACATGTTCACTACCGACGTCGGTGATAATTTCTCTTTCTACATCCACATAAACGAATCGAGTCTGCCTGTAAAAATTATATAAAGAAATATAGAATGGTATATGAGGAAGAATAGCCAAATAAAAATAATTAAATACAAATTAGTAAGAAAGTAACGAACATGTTAAATCATAATGAATAAGTATGGTACAATTAAGTAAATTATAAAAGTACGTCATGTCGCCAGTAGAACGAGATAAAAGATACATCTCGATCTAGAATTTTCGATCGATAATTTTAAGATAATTGATTACACAAAATATATTTGTCACTAAAAACGATATATATGTAGAGAATGTATAAAAAGCACCGGGACGGCGAAATATCTCAAAAACTAAGCGCTTTAGAACAAAATGTTTCAGACAAAAGTTGTATGATTTCAAGAGGGACATAAAACAAAAAACTATATCATTTTGTTTACAGATGGCGCCCTGACTTGTTAATTTAATAATTTTGAAATTTCCAAAGGTTGATAGTTGAAGTTAACAAAAGTTAAGGCACTATTGTAACAATTCAAAAGTGGCGCCATTTGTAAACAAAATGATATAGTTGTTTTGTACCCTTCTTGAAACCATACAACTTTTGTCTGAAACATTCCTTTTCTCAAATGCTTAGTTTTCGAAATATTTTGCCGTCGTTGTACTTTTTATGCATCCTGTACCAAAACCGAAAAACATCTATCATTCCGAAAGGATTAATTTTTTCACCTGTACTTACAAAAAAATTTTTACTCAGCATAATAAGTATTATTTATCCTGCAAGTTTTAAGCCCTTCTTATTAGAACACTTTGTACGGTTACGAAAAATTATTTCTCCGAGGGGATAATAATACCGACAAAATATTGTACGTGCTGTGGAATTTTTAGTTACTCTGATTGAGACGATATTTTTCACAATTCTGTGTACAAATATACCATCAAATTTCATAATTTGGGGGAAGAGATGAAATTAATACAGTTTAAAAAATAAAATCAGAATACAGAGGTGGTTCGACATGAGAATATGGCTTCTAATTAGCTTGACGTATCGAGAATTCCCCGGCACATGTGATACTTTGTTGACATTATTATTCTTCCGCAGAAGTAATTATTCACAATCATTATCCAGCGCCAGTTAACTTAACAAATTTCTTTCTAATCAGATATGTGGAAGCCTAAAGAAGCTTAAAATAATCTTGCTTTAGCAAATCTAATCAGTCGTTTAAATCATAAATGTTTAATGACTCAATCGTCAGACGTTAATGTTTAGCCAAACCATGAAAATCGACGCGACAACGTCAACGTGTGAATTTATTGTCGATCAAAGTAAGAGAAACGCGAGACAGAGATGTGAGAGACGTACCTTCAATTTTAGTAACGCGGTGAGTACTTGCTGAAGTATCGGCCTGATGTACTTGAGAGGTAGGGGTGAAAATTTGTTCTGCTTCAGAAAGTCGTAGAGGTTTTGCTCCAACATTTCGAATACCAAGCAGGTGTGAGACTTGTGCTGGAAACACTCGAAAGCGCGCACAAAATTGAACTCGTCCGCATTTTCCTGACTAAGTCGAGACAGGATGGAGACCTGCGAGAACAAGGAAAAACAAGCTTGAATGATCCGTCGCAACGAGGGGGCTGCGTGACTCTTACATTTCGCTATCTCAGAGGGATCGCACGAAGGAACTCACCTCAATCTGACCTTGGCGCGCATACGACGGATGGTTCTTTAGAATTTTGATAGCCACTATCTCGTTCGTACCCTTTTTCCAACATTTTACGACCTGCGACAAATCAACATTTATTCGTCGCGTTATCAGATCGTTATCGCACAGCGCCGTAAAGACGTATCGCTTGCAAGAGACAAAGGAGGAGGCGGGGGAGCGAGAACAGGAGAAAGAAAACGGGACGGAGGCCCTTACCTGTCCGAAAGTACCTCTGCCGAGAAACTCAAGGACCTCGTATTGATTGGTCATAGAGTAGAGAACTTCGTGCTGCACTAAATGATAATCCCCATCGCCCTGAGGATTGCTGCCACCGCCCGCATTGGCCGCGTTGGCCACTTGCTTGCTGTGCGTCGTCATGCCCGCCTGCTTGTGCTGTTGCTGTTGCTGCTGCTGTTGTTGCTGCAGCTGCTGTTGCTGTTGGGTATGGTGCTGCGACACTACAGTACTACCCACCGCATTCGTCGCGTTGGCCGAATGGACTGCCAGACCGTCACCATTAGCCTCCCTCGACCAAGTTTTTCTCTGTAGGAGGAATATACCTTATGCAAAAATTTTTGGACGTTAAGAGATCATCATCGGTGTGGTAGAGTGGCTACAGTAGAGCTTAGGTTTGTGCAGTTTTATCTTTCTCTCTTTTTCGCTTTTCTTTGAGGAGAAGGGGGTAGGAGGGTAGAAGAGAGCATACGGAAAACGGCCAGCGATAGCAACGACGCAGGTAAATACAGATGGTGTGTAGAGCTGGGGCTGGCACAACAAAGCAAATCCCGAAGAATAGCTCACGCCATCCGTACCTGTGTACGCGCGTGTGTGTGTGTGTGTGTGTGTGGTAGGGAGGAGGGAGGCGTGTATCGTGCACATGTACACGATGTCCCAGGAGACAGGAATTTTCCGCGCAGGCATCGACGCGAAAGAGCGCCTCGGTCTCGCGTTCGCCTTCGTAATTCGCATTCGTCCGTCGTTGAAGAAGATTAATTAATGGGCGCATACGCCATTATGCTCCATTATACGCAGCGAACGTTATGTATATCGCTCACAATCGTCGCTATGTGAATCAAGCTCGCTCGTTTGTCCGCTCGCTCGTCGTTCATAGCACAGGCCGAGGAAACGTATTTTCCCGCTCGCCGCTCGCGATGGCCGTTTAGTCGTGACGCTCATCGGACAGCCGCGAATAAAATTCCTCGCGGACGTCGCGCGATAATACACCCTCCCTCCCTCCCTCTCTCTCTCTCTTGCGCGCGCGCGCGCCTTCAATGTGTCCGCACATCCGCAGGATGGTCGGCATGAAATATGTAATCTCAGCCTTGAAGGCAATCGATAGTTAACTACGCCACACGGAAACGTTATCTACACCGCCTGGGCACGCCGCCGCCGGCGTGATACCCCGGTGCACGCTGACGCGCGGCGGGGGGCAGCCGAAACATGAGACTCTGTGAGTACCCTCGCCGGCGGCCGAATGCACATGCAGCACTCAGAAGTATGCGTTGCTCAGAAGAAGACCCAGTCGAAAGACCCGGCTGGGAGGGAGAGGGAGTAGGTGAATACGCGAGAGTGAGAAAGAGAGGGGGGATGAGCACGTAAACGAGCGAGTGGACGGGGAGGAAGAGGGTCTTTACGACTTGGAGGAATCGGGCAATCCGCGCAGAGACTCCCCGGCTCATCAATGACACCGACACACCCGCTTCCGGATGGTAACAGACGAGTCGTGCGCGTGACGGGTTGACGTATAAATAAATACACATGTCAGATTCATAAGCTCTCGGCAATGTGCGCTCTTTCCCACGGCGCTGCCTCGTGATGCCGCCGGGGGGTCTGGTAATTAACGAGCGCCGATGTGTGTCGCATCGTCTCGTTAGCTTCCAGACGCACGTGCAGCGGACGCCGCTGAGGAGCCCGAAGAGGACGCAGAAGCAGGACAGATGACTCTTTGGCTATGCCGAATGGATTCGACCTGGTATAGTCTGAGAGATCGCAAATGCCGGGTTCATCGAATGCGCATCTCCTGTCGGCGAGGAAACGGCTGCCTCGATCGTTGCGGAAACAGCAACGGGACACCGCTTGGAAGGAATGTCACCATGTTTTCAAGCGGTGCCAGGCGACACCCAGACCAGCGCAGGACTTTCTGTGATCAGTCTGGTGGATACGTTCTGATCATCCGAAGGAATGCACGTCCTAAATAACACGTCCTAGATTACTTAGGATGTGTTGTTATCTGGATAATAAATTCTGTGGCAGCGGAGTGCTTCCCAGTAAGGACTGCGGCCAGTCGGACTGTGAGCGTGTAAAAGATATACGACACTGAACTACACGCTTGTGGTACCCAGTGATCTTGTGAAAACGAGGCTAATCGGATCTGCTCCGTCCCCGCGAAGACCGTCAATCTAGGGCTAACATCGTAGGCCTAAGCGGTCAGATGAGGAAACGAAGAGGAACGCTCGCTCCAGATGCCTTTAGGGGCTGCTTCTGGAGCCGCTTTTAACCCTTACGGGGATGAATGTGCTCAAGATTACTCAATCTTTGGAGTAACATAAATGCGTGGTGTCTGCCAATCGTGCAACGCGATTTCGCAGTGAATGTCTGTTCACATGTTCAATGTTCGTCGTAATCTGCTCGACCAGGTTCGAATTGGGAAGAAACAACTGAACACGTAGCTAAATATACAATCATGGACGGAGAGGCTGTCCGCTATATTCTGCGCGAGTTTCGAAACACCGTTTTGCCCAATGGGAGAACTCGCTCACAGGAAAACAAGTTCTCTCTCATTGGGCAAGACGGATGTGTCCCGAAAGTCACACGGAAAATAGCTGACAGGCCGTTTCGATCCACGATTGTATACACATGTGTCGGTTCATCCCTGAAAAGGTTAAATCGCTGCCATTGGCCGCGGTTGTTGAGATATAAACAGCACGTGTGACACGGAAGGATAATAAATTACGGTAGGACGCACACGCCTCGACTACAAAGTTTTACTTGCAACAAAATACTCATTTCAGGATGCTCGCCGTGCGTCAGAGCCGATGGCGACGAACGGCGCGAGCGGCCAGCGGCGACATCACGCAGTGTGTTGGTGTCTCGCAGCGGCAACTCGAGAATGGAGGAAATTCAGCGGCGGATGATCGGCATCGCGGGCATGGTGAATCAGCCGAGGGCATTTATACGACGTGCAACTTCAGGCCGTCCGGCGTATCAACAAATCGCCGTGTTACCGACGCGAGAAGACGAGGAGTTTGGAAACTTCCAAGGCGAACAAGCACACCATGCTCGCGCGCACGCATCGAGACTGATCGCTATTGGACGAGGTGTCGATGACGGCATCGCGGCTAAACACCAGAACTCACGCCTCGCATACCGGGAACAAGTCCACACGGCGAAGGAGTCGCGAGTAGCGGTATCGCTGTTAGCCTCATTTTCAATTAACTTCTGGACCACCGAGCGGACTCGCTTTCGTGCCAAGCGGGAGGGTTCAAGAGTCCGAAAATACGAGAGAGATCTTCGGGGGCCACGAAGACTGAACGGCCCACAGCAGGTCGCTTCGCGGTCTTACACAAGAGTCCAAAGTACGTCGGAACTTGTCCGAGCGACGAAAGCGCCGTCACCGCGCGTAAAGCCGGCCACATCGGCGAGCCTGCAGGAACCAGCCGAATCGGCGACCTTTCGGTGATGTGGCCGTTGAGACAAGTAGTCCGACTGCGAGTAGCGAATAGATCGGCTAACAAGTACGCTCGCGACGATCTAACCGAGGAGAAGGCGAGAGACGCGAGTACACGGACACACATGCACACATAGACACACACGCGCGTGTACAAACAAACAGCGGCGTATCGTCTCGCTACAATCCGCGGAGCAGCCTTTCCCTTTCGACCGGCTTGCAGCAAGAGGCGTTATTAGTTGCGAAGTGAGGTGCATCACGACTCGTTGCCAAACGTGGTCTCTCCATCTCGAGTGACCCAACTCCGGACTCATGCCGAACAAGCGACTTAATCCCTCGTCCGCCGACAAGTTTGACTCTGACTGGCGACGAGACACGTACAAGACCGTGAGAAGAAAGTTCCAGCCTGTCTGACTGACTGAGTTATGGAAAATGCGGAAAAGTGTGAAACTAGCGGATCCAACTGTCGCATACTCGCGCTCACGCACCTTTAGGCTTAGTCTACAACAGATGATTTAAGCTTTAAGAAATTGGCCATTTACAGTGGAATATTTTCCTTAACTTTGATTGTGACTGGTCAGTTTCTTAACGCTTAAGGGTTAAAGTGCTTATTTAACCTATTGGGAATTGCCCAATTTACTTAAGGCTAGAAATCACAACTTAAATTGGTACTTTAAGTCTTAAGAAATTGATCAATTACAGATAATTAAGAAGTTAAGAAGAATACTCGACAATTGGTCAGTTTCTTAAAACTTAAATCATCTATTATGTGGCGAAACCTTACGTGTACAAAAACGTGGCGAGAAACGAGTGATGATGGAAAAATTACGTACGTGTCGCAACTATGTGTGTGTGTATATATATATGTGAAACTCGAATAAACAAATGACATTAAGACATATCGTGATTGTTTGCATATTGCACAAATTGCGCGCGATACCGAAGGAAGCAAACAAACAAGACCCGACATTTGCGCGTTTGACGTTAAATTTAGCCGCGTCGATAGCCGCTGAGCGGAAGCGAGCAAAGGCGTGTTGAAAAACGCTCCAGGATCCTAGGGACAGGTCTAGCAATCAGCCTCGAGAAGAGGGTCAAGGTGAATATCTCCAACTTGGGATTTGCAAAAGTCACGCGTTCCTTCGATCTACAGCTTCGTCGTTGCGTGGAAAGGGAAAGAGAGCGACGGAGAAGACTAGAGAGGCAGAAGGAGCCGCCGTTGTTGTGCTACTCTGGCGATTCGCAACGACGTTGAACGCAAAGTCAGGATCGGAGGAGCCAAATTTAGCAGCGTGCGTGGCGGAACGCTCGAGAGAGACGCACAGATGGCCGGGAGTTTGCTCGAGAGCGGGGGATTCAAAAGCGGCCTGTGTGTGTGTGTGTGTGTGTGTGTGTGTGTGTGTGTGTATGTGTGTGTGATGAACGCATTTTTTTAGCTCTGTCATCGTGTACGACGGTGGAGAGAAGAGCGCACGGAGGAAGTGGCAACCAACCTTCTGGCCACAACGTTGGTACGTGTCTAAGAGCTTGATCGTCGAGGCTCGTACCAGGGTCTGCTGGTTCGGGCTATTCTTCTGCAGCGCATTATTGTTGTGCAGCGTGCTAAATGCGGTATTAGCACCGTTCACGGAGTACCGTTGCTGCAGACCGGTATTGTCCAATTGGTAGTCGCCGGTCGATTGGACCAATGCGTGCTGGATCACCGGCTGGCTCACGTTGTACTCCAACTTGCGCTTCTTGCTGTGGTGGTGAACGGTGTTGTTACTGCTGCTGCTGCTGCTGCTGCTGCTGCTGCTGCCGTTGACGCTACTCGTCTGCTGTGTTTGGATGAACATGTCACACATTCCCTGCAATCGGGACGAAACCTTATTAGCCTTGCTGCCGCTCTCTCTGAACGTCCAACAAAAAAAAGAAGGAAAAGAAGCGAGATTCCAAAAGATACGAGAGAGAGAGAGAGAGAGAGAGAGAGAGAGAGAGAGAATGATGCGGAGAAAATCGTCCCATCGAGGCGACAAGAGACTGTGACGCACCGTTACTATACAACAACAACCATTAATATCAATCGGACGTAGAGAGTGCGACGCTACCTTTTCTCAGACGCGTCCCAAAGACCAAAGTGAGTCGCCATCGCGGAAAAACAGGGCAGGCGGATGAAAAAAAAAGTCGGTAACGCCAACGGCCATGAATACTTTAGTCCTCGCATCGGGCTCTCGCGCGGCCATGTACGGCGGCTCCGCGTCGCTTTGGGTCAGTGGTTTCCAAAGAGCCATCATCCTTGAATATCATATTTCTGCTCGCAAATAACCGTCCGCGTCGCGTCGTCCGTCGTCCCCGGGACGAAATTGCAAGAAATTGTCGCGAGACTACGCGAGTTAACGGACCAGCCCCTCCTCTCTTCCGGACCCCGCTCCGCTTCGCGGAGCCGAGCCGAGAACTTTCCGATTCGCTATCAGCATCCCGTAAATTCACATAATCCCCTGCGATCGCACTTAGATACGCGGTATCGCGCGCGGTGCATTTGTGTGACTCATGCGTCGGCCGAATAATACCGGGGCGAACGAAAACATCCGATCGATCCCTGGAACGTCTCGGAAACGGCGCGATTTCAATCCCGCGCCCTCCGTTATTCGCCATCCGTCGCGCCAGCCGAAGGAAGAGAAAACCGAGAGAGAGAGAGAGAGAGAGAGAGAGAGAGAGAGAGAGAGAGAGAGAATGAGAGAGAGAGAGAGAGAGAGAGAGGAGATGAGAGAGAGAGAGAGAGAGAGAGAGAGAGAGAGAATGAGAGAGAGAGAGAGAGAGAGAGAGAGAGAGAGAGAGAGAGAGAGAGAGGATGAGAGAGAGAGAGAGAGAGAGAGAGAGGAGATGAGAGAGAGAGAGAGAGAGAGAGAGAGAGAGAGAGAGAGAGAGAGGATGAGAGAGAGAGAGAGAGAGAATTTTTTTCCGTTTTTCGCCGTCATTTATTCGCGTGCGCGATACGCTCTAATTATAGTACTGCTGGCTCTGAAATAGCGCCGGTTGGCGTTACGAACAATCTACAGTAACGCGAGGTACAGTTACGTTCGACTTAACCGGATCGACGTTCGTTCGGATCCTAACCTAACCGATGAACGCCGCAACGGATATGGTCGCTCCCACCGGCTGTGCGTCGCTGTCGCTGTCGTCGTCGTCGTCGTCGTCGTCCGCCGGCTGCTGGCGCGGGCGCCCGACGCGGTTGTACGGCACTGCCGTAACCGTAACATTCGCCGCTTTCGAGAGCCACTCGCGCGCGGAGCCGCCTCGGGTGGAGCGTGGAGGAGCAGGCAGCCGGTCGTAAAAGACGTTAATTTCCGAACGGCGATAAGAGAATTTTCGAGACGACGAACAACATCTTGCACGGAGCGGAGTGTAAGAGTATTCGAGATTTCGCGCGCGGCGAAATCTCGAATACAAATGAGAAAAACACGGAGAAGAAAAATGCCGTGTGTTGCGTCAGTAAGACAGTTCTGCTTCTGCTGTGATCGGATTAAATCTTCCAACGATAATATTATCGAACCCGATATCGAAGTTAGCAAAACAATGTTATGATGTATCGGCTTCAGTAAGACTGCTATTGTATCGAAGTTCTACTTTGGAGTAGACCTACATGCAACGTCCCGTAGAATTTGAGAATCGGAAACAGAAAACATCGGAATTCGACTACCGAGACTGCCGATAACCGCTGAATAGCGCGTTTCTTCTGGCCATTCTCGAAGACAATTGATTTTCTTAATTATGAAAAATAATTATATATAGATATAGTTTATGAGCGTACACTTCATTCGAATGTAACAATACGATGAATATTACACATCACGGCCATCTTACCCGAGTTAGTCCATCCGGAAATATACTTTTCGCAAAGCAAAATACAATCGTCTCGAATACAGAGTATCCTATTTTAAATGAACCAGGCAAAAATATGAAAGATACAAAGAAATGTTTCCGACAAAAGTTGTATGGTTTTAGGGGGATATAAAACAACTATATTATTTTGTTTACAGATGGAGCTAACTATTCGCTCATCATTGCTTTTCCTAAATGGAAATCCCAATGTTTTACATCATCTTTCTCTACCAATTAATTCGAACAACTTTTGTTTGAAACACTCTTTTATTTGCTTAATGTTTTTTGAGATTAAGGAAAACTTGATAACTTTTTCAACATTTAATTAACGTTTCTTAGCATCTTTCATATTTTCCGAGATTTAAAATGGGACGCCCTGTACATCGCTATATAATATCCCGAAAACAATACGTACAGACGTATTAATATTTGCCCATCTGAATACACTCTGAAATTGCGCTCAACTGAATAAATATTAATATCAAATAAATAATAAATAAGATGAATAAAATAGCGATTAAATAAATAACAATGTATCCGCCAACGAAACAATTCCAACGTTGCAGTAAAATGAAAGGCGATTATTCACGGGACGAGTCCTCGGATTTCAGTATCGACTTTCGAGGACATCGTTCCCCTTAAAAAATTTCCGCACGCTTTTTCCAAGGTGACGACGCGTGGCCACCGCTGTTAACCGATTTATCGACACAAGAGCAGTTCTTATCGTTCGGCGAGCCGACCGACGGTAGGTCGCGTAGTTGCGATTCACTCGACTTCGCTGATATTACAAACGTAAAAAATTCCGCGACGGGAAAATTCCGCGAATATTATTCGACTGCCAGGAAAATCGTTTTGGAGTAATCCGTCGAGTCACCAGCGCGTGCGGCTGAGTCACACGACTCCGAAAACTAAATAATGAAACTTTACGTCACCGTCTAACGATCGCGCTCATAATCCGCGCGCGTATGTGCATGTGTGTGTGTGTGTGTGTGTGTGTATGTGTATGTTGTGTGTATGTGTGTTCGTATATATGCATTTTCCTGCACACGTCTATGCGCGGGGGAGTACGTGATGCATCGCACACGCTTTATATTCCGCGCGATGAGTCAAGCCGATCGATTGATGAACGGTGAAATCCGAGCTTGCTCGCTCAAACGGCCAACTTTCGTCACGAATTGCCAAACAACGGCGAGAAATCCGACTAAACACAACCGCGTCGTCATCGCGGAAGAAATTCGCCTTGATCGCGAAAAAGGGAGGCAGGCAGACAGAAACGCGTAAAGCGCCCTCCGACTGCCTTCGAGGGAGGTCTCGGAGGATCGGAATCTTCGTTGGAATTATAAGTGATATTTCAAGCTCCAAGGCGTTATTATTAGAGCGACGAAATTTCGGAAAGTGAATACTCGAGCTTTCCAACGACGTCAGCGTGTACAGAATCTCGCTGCTTGTTTTCGATCTTTCGAATTTTCCACCAGAGTTCGACAATTCCAAGATTCGAGCTTCCGATCGAGCTCCGACGAACAATCCGTCGAAAATGGGCGTTTTACTTCGGAAGACAAAGACAATTGTGAGTACAATTAAAAATCTAAGCACGGCGGGGGGGGAGGGGGAGGGAGAGAAAGGGGCAAAGGGACTCGCAGGTCTCACGCGTGCAACTTCACCGCCGACGATATGCACCGGTTTAATTATAATTTTTACGCAAAAGCCAATGCCTTGCGCAAATAAACGCGCGGCCGCGCGGAATCAATCGGCCGCTCATTATTACGTAATTTCAAATTTCGCGCGCGGGCGAGGCGTGAGCGCGCAACTCTCGTGGGAGCGAGCGTCGACGTCGCGCCATCGGGAGCGGCGCCGACGTCGATGTTGCCTACGTCGACGAAGACGACGAAGACTGCGACTGCGGATTAAGCAATCGCGTTACACGAATTAACACACAATAGCGGCATACAATGGACGCGTGCGCGCGCCTTCTTACAGCCCTGTCGAAAATACTCGAGCTTCCCGCTCTCGGTCAGAGCTGGCCAAGGTTCACGCAACACGCGAAAACATTATTCATATTTCGCCGAGTAGCCGCAGAGCGGGCTGAATGCTGTGAAAAAAATGGCGAGTAGAAGCGAACGAATCAAAGTCTATTTATATAACATTTACAACGCGGAGATGTGTCCTGCTGTTTGTTTTAATAGTCTTCAACTACAACTAAACGAAGGAAATGAAATACTTGAACATGTATCCAGAACATGTAACCGAGTAGAAAAATTAATAGGGCTCTGCTAAGGGCCTGATTACTTTTCCCTAACATTAATCGGGCCCTAATAGGAATAGAAGAACAAGGCTCTACAAGATGTGTAACAAATGGTTTAACGAGTCCTTATAAGGCAATATTAACAGGGCCTTATGAGGAAATATTTTTATTATCGCTTGAATAAAAATATTCGTTCTTCTCATTCCAAGAAATTTGGACTGTAATTTCTTTATAACCTTATAGTATACAAGATTCGTTTATTTTAAAAATATAGCATACTTTGCAATAAAATATAGCATTCTTTATACTTAAAAATCCTGCTACTGTTTTTTAAATTAAAGTTTGCTGTATTTCAAAACAAAGACAATACTAGAAAAATCTTTGGAAGAGACTAATGAACATGGCAACTAATAAAACAAATAAAATTTGTTTTTAATTGCGGTATGATTACAAAATCTTTAAAAGAACCAGATAGAGCGTACCTACTGAAACAATATTAAACTATGACAATTTTATCACACGCTTCAGATCTTATTTAATTTTCTATAACAAAATTTAACAACTAATCTCTAACAAAACTTAATTTTGTATATCTAAAAAATCCTCTTAAAAGATCTTTCTAAGGTCACCAGTTTTCCTTATCAAAGCCTCTTTCCGTAAAATCTTAAGATATCCTTAAAAGATCCATCTCTCAATGCCTAATGCAGTAATAATGAAGCATCCCCTTTTTAGGGCATCCTACTTTCAGCTTTATCGGGGCCTTATGCTTCATGAGGATGGCTCTAACAATTTTTTGCTCGAATATGTGCCTGAAAAGCGCTTCTTCTTCACGAGAAAGAAACAGGCTCATTACTTATTACTAGGAAAATGTATCGAACGATCAGCCGCCAATCACAACTTTCCATGGGAAACAAACTGCTGATGTACAAAAGCATCCTGAAACCAATATGGACACGGTACTTAGCTATGGGGCACCGCCTCAAATTCCAATACTGAAATCCTTTCTCAGAGATCCTTTCAATCTAAGATACTTCGCAGATCATTGCAGATATCCCGTGGTATGCCAAATAAAATCCTGCATCATGACTTGAGTATTTCAACGATTAAGGAGGAAATCGAGAGATTCTCAGGCTGAGATACCATATGACCCATCCGAATGCCCATCAGCAGCGAATCTTGTGGGAAAATTCCGGACCCGCAGACTCAAAGGAAAATTACTCCGAGATCCAATTGACCGATTGACTGATCAGTCTTTAGACGTTAATTTTGATGTGTGTTCCACATCCTTTGAGTCAACAAGTAATAAACACAAATTATTACCGTCTCACCACAAGACAGATTGTAAAATACACTCGGTTAAGAAAAAAAAAGGAAATATTTCACCAAAAGAAATAAAAAACGCAATTCTTGCGCGATGGCGGATCAGGCGAACAGAAAAATCCCCGAGGATCGAAACAAAAGCGTCTCCGAGGACTCGCTTCGGGAAGACACAAATCCGAAGTGCAACTGCCCCCTCCCCCCAGAGGGACGCGGCTGCACCGGACGATACGTATATATCGATCAAACTTCTTTCAATGACAGAAAGACGAACCACCTGTCCACGATGGCACGGGGGAGGTCCTTCGCCGGCGATGCGTATATTCACCGCGCTGGATTTTGTTCGCGGAGCGAACGCGGCACGGACCATTGCGGACAGGAAGTTGAGGAAACCCTGCGCGGTAATAATAACGGCCTGTGCGGAGCCGAGCATAAACTGAAGTGGAATATCGCGAGGGAAAGACGGGGCGGGGGCGGGGGCGGCGGCGGCGGTGCATTGCGTTGCGTTGCGTCAAGCTTTTCTTCAGAAGAAAGGATACCTGCTCCCGCGATTTCGATCGTCCATCTCGCTCCGTCGGAGAAATTGTACGCGATGTTCAAAAAAAGAGATTCAGAACTTTAAAGACAAGTAGTACTCACAAAAGATCCCAATAAGCATGGCTCGAAAAATTAATGTTGTGGACAATTATTTACTTCAATTAAAGCAAGTGACCTATTCGCTTCTGGTGCTCATTATCGGTAATTCTATGTTATTTATCGATGAGGAGTACACTTAATACTTTTAAGAAATCCCCGTAAAAAGAGTCCAGGGGATTTAAACCGGAAGAGCGAGAGGGAGCCATGAGACTGGCCCACCCCAATCCATCTTTCGCCGGAAAGACCTACTTAAATGTTGGACAAAATGTTGAACTTAGATCAGAGAATACAGAACGCCTGTCAAATAGTTAGAAGAAAGTTGGGGATTTTTGAGAAAGTTCTCGATTCTACGGGACGAGAATATGAAGCTACGGCAGGAGAATATGAAGCATGTGCAAAAGTAGAAAAAACATGTAGAAAATCTTCTGTATATTTTATAAGCATCAAAAGCGAATAAGTCACTCGCTTTAGTTAAAATAAATAATTATCCACAACTCCGGACAGTATTAATTTTTCGACCAACTGCAACGTCCACCTGACAATTGTCAAAAGATCTGTTCCTCTTAGACGGACCAGTTTGCCAGACTTTTGGCCTTCAGATTGGAGGGGCAAAGGTACACAAAGCGCACTCTAAATGTTCACCTAAAATACCTCGGGAGAAATGTATTATTCGAAAAAAAAAAGTCTCTTGGACCAAAGTCTGAGCAAGGTCAGACCAAGGCACCATCTCAGCAGTCTCTTCGGAGCAAACAACTTGTGTGTGCAAGGTTTTCCCGAATAACGCATTTCTTCAGAGATACTTCAGGCGGGTATTTGTGAAATGGGTCACCCTGTACATAACCGAGCGAGGAGAAAAGGAACGATGTCTCGGTGCGGTTAAAAGGGACAGGAGGTCTGAGCTGTGTGTTGCATGTTTATCGTCGTACAGATAGATTATCGTGGGTTCGCCGTATCAAAGTGCGATTACGATTCGCCGGAGGGAATAATTAAATGGGTATTCCATGACAGATAATTCGATTACTGTAGATTACATGAGATGTCGAATGCGAGGCTGCGTTAAGTACAGAACGCGACATAACGATAATCGTGTGAGATGGATTAAACAAGCGCGCAATCCGCTCCGGCGAGCACGTAAAACGATGATACTACGAATTTCAAGTACATGCTTGCGCCCAAAAGACGACGACGACGACGACGCGGACGGCACGAATGCAAAATTACTTCCGCGATTACGCCACGGCAAATCGCTATTTGTTTCGGGCAAAAGGGGAGTGGAAGAGCAGAAAAGAAAGAGGCAAAGAAGGGAAGAAGAGTGAATAACTCATGGTGCACCGATGACACCGGTTCCCCGACGAAGGTACGCCCATCCGCTCGACGCCCAGGAACGCCTTGGCCGTTCTGCGAAGGTAGCACGCGATTTCTAGGTTATGTCGCGGCGATCGACACGCACGGCGAGAGATTCGATCAAAGCCACATGTCATCCCGCAAAAGTCACGCGTTTCGTGCGCAGTACCGTAGTCGCTTGCTTCACTCCCCCCGCGACACGCCGCGCCGCGCGCGAGCGAGCTGTGAAACTCTCTTTATTCGTTTTCAAGCGCGGAAAACGTGGCGAAGAGGACACGCGTGTAAAAAAAGGAACGAGAGAGTCTGGCCACGAGGGCGAGCCAAGCTTCAGGTGCGACGACGACGGCAGAGTGAGTGAGTGAGTGAGTGAGTGAGTGAGAGAGAGAGAGAGAGAGAGAGAGAGAGAGAGAGAAAAAGAGAGGGAGTTTCGCACTTTTCAAAGTTGCGACACGCATCGCGTGCTATACGCGGCCGTACGTCGGAAAGTTCCTCACAGCTGTTCGCCTCTGTTCCAGATAATACATAACGGCCGACGTACGAAAAAGAGCGCACGACGTAGAATGCGGTTCGTCCGGCCAGATCGGATTGCTTGTGGACGAGATACAAAAATAAGACGCACGTCGACGTGCCGGGGAATGCCGCCGCCACCGGGGCGTCGCTCGCTCGCGTACCGCATTGACGACGACGACGACGATGGCGACGACGAGGACAACGACGACGAGGACAACACCCCCGCGATTTTGAAGGTTAGGTCAGCCGGGAATGGTCGAGCCGACAGATGTTGCCAGGGATCGGTTTCGTGTTTCGCGACTCTAGTCTATAGGGCAAGAGAGCTATTCAGTCGGCAGGACGGAGCCTGGCACGAGGGAAAGCGTCGACCGAAAAAAGTGCAGACGCCGATAGACGACCAGCCGCGTAGCGAACGACTCGTCTGAGCGGAGAGAGACAGACAGAGGCGAACGAGAGAGAGAGAGAGAGAGAGAGAGAGAGAGAGAGAGAGAGAGAGAGAGAGAGAGAGAGAGAGAGAGAGAGAGATAATGAATAAATTAATGAATAATGAGAGCACGGAGAGAGACGGCAGCAGCAAACAGCAGAAGCAAACAGAGACAGAGAGACAGATGCGGGGGAGGGAGGCGGAGAAAGGAGAAGAGACAGGTCGTTATCGATATACGAAAACTCGTCGCGACGGACGAGCGGCATAATCCCACGTCGTCGTGGAATATACCCACCGACATGTTGGGATTTTCGGCTAAAAGGAGACGAAAGTACGAATATCTACGAACAAGGGAGGAGATGAGTGCGCGCGTACGTGTACGTATGACAGAGAGAGAGGGAGAGAGAGAGGGGGAGGGGAGAAAGAGAAATTAGTCAAATGGCTTGTCTGTACAGTTGAAAAAGTAAACGCACGAATGACCGTCCCGCTGACGAGGGGGCGGAGGGAGAAAGAGCAACTTTCGACTCGCTTTATACTTTTCGTACGCCCGCTGTACACGGTACGCCGGCTGCGTGCATGTGTGTGTGTGTGTGTGTGTGTGTTACATATGTGTGCGCGCTACTTCGAAGCTGGTAGAGTCCACGTATGGCTCGCTCGCTCGCTCCGCTGTGGCAGCGGCGGCGGCGGCGGCGAGGTACGCGAGGACACGCATGCATATACGTACCCTGCGCGTACGTGCGTACATGCGATAGCGCTCATACACCGGCCGACCTGTTCGAACGCCTCTCTTCCGTCGGCCTGTCACGTCGAGGTCGAGCTATACAGCCCGTCGATACAGCCGCCGTCGAGGAGAAGGCATATTTCCGAGAACGTCGTTCTCGCCGTGAGAGCGAACGGACAGGCGATCGCGAGACAGACAGACAGAGACAGAGAGAGAGAGAGAGAGAGAGAGAAAGAGAGCGGGGGACGGAGTGAACGAGGGAGAGACGAGGACAGACGGACGACCGAAAAATCCGCTGTTGCACGAGAGAGAGAGAGAGAGAGAGAGAGAGGGAGGGAGAGGAGGAGAGAGAGAGAAGGGCAGAGACGCGGCGTACGTTGGTAGGTAAGAGAAATTCACTCACCTCTCACTTCTTGGCCAGTGTCTCTCTCTTCAGGGACGGGCCCGACGATCATGTAGCCGCATGTTCCGCTTGTCCACGGTTCGTACCCCCGCGTTCGCTATGTCGGCCTCTCGTCAGCGACACACAGCCATCTTGCGTAGCAGAGCTGGCCCTGGCTCGTCGCACAAACGCCTTCGGTGCGGTGGCCCCCGGCGAGAGCGACTGAGAGAAGCGTCGACGACGGCGACGGCGCGCCGTGGAGAGGGGAGAAGTTGCCGAAGCGACTCGTCACGAGCGAATGAGACGACGACCGTTCCGCCGATGACGGCGCGCGGTAGTGGGACGGAGTGGAACACAGACGGAGACGAGGACGACGACGACGACAACAACGACAACCACGACGACAACGACGACAACGACGACGACGACGGCGACGGCGACGAGGACAACGAGACGCGACCTCGCCGGCCGAGAGCGTGCCGCCGTCCTAACCTGCGCGCATACAACCACCAGCAGCGGCACCAGTGGGAAAGCACGCGCGCGACACTCTTTTCTACCACCGCACGCGCGCACTCCGGAGTACCATCGGAGCACCTCTGCCTCACCGTCTCCGTCGTAGCCGACCGCACCGCTGCCGCCACCGCTGCCACCGCCGTCGCCGTCGCCGCTGCCAATACTGAAGACCGCGGTCGCTGCTCTGTCGCTGTCGCTATTACGACCACTGTTATCGCCGCGGCGCCGCCGACGGCAACACCGGCCGACCAGCACTAGCACTACTCTCACAGTTTCCGCCGCTCCGCCGCACTGCTGTCGGCCACCTTCGTCACGTACATGTTCCACGCGCAGCGGACGCCGAGCGCCGAGCCCCGCACACGCGTGTCGTCGATACCCGTCGGGTTTCGCGTTCCAGCCAACTGCCAACGGCCAGCGATACGGCGGCTCGTCGGGACCACGCGGTTCAGTGAACAACAGCGCTCATACTTTCTCGTCTCTCTTTTCGCCCCACTCTCTTCTCGCGCGCGCTCACTTCACCTCACCTCACCTCACCTCACCTCACTCCACTCCACTTCACTTCTCTCTTCTCCTCCTCCACCTACTCTCCTCCTCCTTCTTGCGTTGTCGGTGCGCGCTGCCGCACTGCTACCGCTGCTACCGCCGAATCGCTACTAAACGCGCGCTCCGTCGCGCACAACCACGGCCGACGTTGATCGGAGTACCGTTCGGGCTCGACTGGCGCGCGGTGGGGCGCGCTCGGCCGTTTCCGCCACGGCTTTGCTTGCCGCAGGGCCGGCGATACAGCGGGCGCCCCCGGTGGCCTCGATTCCACCGCAATGAGTCACGATTGCGGCGGTGACAGCGACGACGACGATGACGACGACGACGACTTGCGCTTGGTCGTCGTTGGGGAATATGTTCGTTTTTTAACGGAGGTGAGAACGTTTGTCTGCGCGACACCGCGTGCCCGGATTGTCCGATCGAAAAGTGCGCCAGACGTGACGTTTGGAAATATTCGATCGCTCGCCAGACGCATTTTCCTTCGTTTCCTCGCTTCCGCTCGTTCACGACGAGCGGTAGGCGCGACTCGTATCGCACTCGCCTTTCGTTGCTCCCGTTCGCGCTGATCCACGCGCGGCTTTTCTTGCAAAAAATTCGCTACGTAAGCAGACGGAAAATAAGGGGAGGGGTGATTCTTAGATAATAATAAATGATTCTGCGACGGTTCTGCGGAAGAATTGACAGAGACGAATTTTTAATTACAAATGAAATTATTTATTCGTTTTATCCGTACACATGAGTCTTCAATCTTGCGACTCGCCGATCGAAATTTGTCGTCCAAAGTGCAAAAGCCGCTCGACTTCGCTCGGCGCATAATTTGCGACTTCTACATTGAATATTGACCGTTTTAGAAACAAGATACGACGACCGACTCTCATGCGTACAGCTCGTCTGTCGCCGACTAACGTTACGACTTACGTCTTACGTCTGTAACGTTAGCTTCGACGTTGCTATATGGAGCACGACCGTAACAGTTTCCACCGTCGCTCGGCGGTGGTTTCTCGTTCCTCCTTTCGCGGCGGCGCATCGTGCCGGGCTGATTTTCTACGAAAAAATAGCGAAACAATAGGTCTCCGCGTGAGATTTATAATCGCGTTTGGTGGGAACAGCAGGAGAGGACGAGTCGGATTTCATGCGTCGTCCTCGGACACTTTCACGAACGCGTTGGATTCGCGCGCGCGCGCGCGCGGGCGCCATGTGAGCAAAAATGCTATTTCAATAATAAAACGCGCCGGAGTGAAAAGACTCGCGGCGCTTCTTCACTCCGATGAACCGCAGATGTGTTTCGCTAAATATAACAGGCGCGCGTTCTTTTTGACTCTGCCGTTCCAGGAACAAGCCCGCTACCACTATGCGCTTCTACCCACTGCACCGCCGAGCGTTTCTACGTAATCGTCCAAAATTATTCGTCCGACGATTCGTCATCTCGCAGTGATCGCTGCTAGTCGCTGCTTCGTCCTGTCGAGCGCCGATATTGCTCACGGAAAACCACCGACGAGGTGTCCATGCGGCTCATCTGGATCCGAATTATACGCAACGCAGTGTTGCTACGCCGTGGATCCTTCGGACACGGTGGTTCGAAGGATCCACAGGTCAAATTTGCAACTGGTAACGATAATTCCGACGCAAATAGCCGGTTACGTACGAGTCAAAAAAATACCTGAGAAGCAAATTGTAATATCACTGTGAAAACGTTTAATTTAAAAACGCACAAGAATCCTACTAAAGAGATTTCTGTTGGAATCTAAAATGAGATTTCCGAAAAATTTCCCACATGGGACCTTAATTATTTTACATATCTAAATTGATATATCACATGAAAAAGTAAGTACTATTTCAGTTGAGAAAAATAGCTGAAACAGCTGAAAAAAATATTAAAGAAACTTTTCTATTTTTCATATCTCAATTGATATCTCAATTAAAATATCATTATTTATTTTTTTATATGATATCTCAATTAAGATATCAGATATGACATAATTAAGATCTCATATAAAACATATTTCGGAAATTCCATTTTAGATCTGAATAGAAATTTTTTCAGTAGGAAAACTTTCCGTAGAATAGTCCTCATGAAAAGCGGAAAACCTTTTTAGAACTTTCGTATCAAAATTTTTCAAAGAGAGCTTTTCACAAAAGAAGATCTTCTATCCTCGACATAGCGAAACATTTTGCTGTATAACAAATGTTGTTTTTTGCCAGTATATACGTGCGCTGTCCAAAAATTGCAGACCAAGTCGTGGTTCTGTCAGTTTTATTTACTAAGCTGGCCTTTCTGGGCATTATTAGGCCTTTTCCGGATTACAGCCGATCTTTTTTCAAAAAAGAAAGTAAAGAAACTGATTAATCGAATACCTGAGTTTTGAGTCAAATGTAATCGGAACATCGTTTAAAGGTGATGACCACAGGAAAAAGAAACAATTCCATTAGCGTATCTAAATTTTTTGTTGACTGGGGAAAGAATAGGGGCAAACGGAGAACTCGATTGTAAGAATTCCAGAGAGATTCCCATAAACAGTTTCTATTCGCAATCAACCGATTTCAGCTTTCTCAACCAAATGTTCAGACGGATGTCTCGAGCTGCGCGACAATAGAGATATTACGTATTTCCCGTCTCATATTTTCGTCTAGTCGGTTACGAGAACTGAAATTTTCTCCTGTGTGCTTAATAATGACAAAATGTAACATGAATGCGTTTGTATTCGAAACGGACATTATTCCTTAGCAACGAAGATAAATTTAAATTCACACATACACACACACACACACACACATACACATATTTAATGATACATATGAACGATACATAAAATACCATTTGTTATATCTGAAATATCATGCGACATGTTTACAAAGCGTCTCGCCTAACCTTGAATGTCTGAAGTATTTTAGTTGCTATAATAAAAAAAAGAACAAGAAAAAATGTTTTAGGAGTTCAGGAGTAGGCGACTCGTTTTCAACGGTATATTCACCAGGAAATCCATTCTGACGTACGGCCGCGAAAAACTCGGTTCGGCCTTTCGTTCGTTCGTTCGTTCTTTCTTTCTTTCTTTCTTTCTTTCTTTCTCCTTTCCTATCTTTCTCTTCTTCTCCCCACCCACTCTCTTTCTTCCTCTCCCTCTCTCTCATAATACTCGAAACGAGTTTCCAGCGATTCAATGCCTTGGTCTCACAAATGTGAAAGTACATTACTGCAGGCTCTGAAAGTCGTTTTGCTCGAAGGTTTACCTCTCAAATGGCCCTGGACCGTTCACCGAGAAAAGAACTTCGAGTGAGGACAAGTGTCGCGCGCAATGAAGAATTGCATCTGAAAAAGGAAGAGGAAAGAGTGTGGTATGCGTGGTGTGGAGAGAGAGAGAGAGAGAGAGAGAGAGAGGGGGAGGAATAAGTGGGGAGGGGGAAGAGAAAATGCGTAATAAAAATCAAATGAAAGTTAAACGAAATGGCGCGGAAAGCAGACGTTTCCGCGAACCTTCGGACAACAAACAGATCCTGAAGGGGTTCCAGCGACACTAAATCCAGCCCTGCCAACGTATCTCTCGGATAAGCGTAAGGTTTCGCTAGATATACGTAGACCTAATTGGCTTACTCGCGGAGCATATAATTTTATTACTGATAAAGGCAGCCGAATTTAATTGAATTCCTTCCCTCGCTCCTCCGACGTCCTCTTTCGCAGCGCGAGCGCGCGTCTTTTGCATTTACGATCGTCGCGCGATCACCGCGAAACGGAAGCCACATGCCACATGCACTTATCTGCTTCCTCGCGAGCAAATCGCGCGCGCGCCTTCGGAGCCTCTTAGCTTTTTCCTCCTTCGCGTCGGTCGCAACTTATCGCGTCGCGAGAAGTGTACATGTTGGTTAATAACGAACAAACATCTCTGACGTCACGACTGACGAATGTATATTCATTTGTGCGTGAGAAGCCGATAATTATATGACTGTCAATAAGGCTGTTGACGGCTAATACAGAGTGCTCCGATTGCGAGCGATCCCTTTAAATGGGATTTTCATTAAAGGCTGAAATTAACAGTTGCGCGCAGACGAGAGTCCAGGTAGAATTCCCATCCGTCGCAACGTGAGCTCGATTAACGTTACGCGATTATCGTTGTACATATATGTGCAATATATATGTACGTCGAGCTTTACCCCGCTTGGTTTCGCTCGACTTCAGACTTCATCGGAAATGAAGCCCCGCGCGCACCAACGCACATTTGAATCTTCATGTACGTGCGTCCACGCATACGCGTCGCTCCCGCACGAACGATGCTCGCGGAAGCGGTGACCCCACTTGGTCGTGTCAATCGTAATCGCAAGTCGCAAGTCTCTCTCTCTCTCTCTCTCTCTCTCTCTCTCTTTCTCTCTCTCTCTTTTTCCCTCTCTCTCTCTCTCTCTCTCTCTCTGTCTGTCTCTCTTTCGCTCTCTCGGGTGCGTGCACAGCCACCGCTTACGTCGCTCTGTAATAGACAGCGATAAACAACGGCTAGTTGATTCACCAGTGGGCGCTCGTGCAGTAAAACGCAGACCCTCGGATTTACATTTCGTGACTGTGCGCCCGAATAATAATGTTCCACTGTCTAATCATCGGCGCAGTGGGATATAAATGTTGAGTCGGTACGGCCGAAAAAAGATTCAAGCGAGCGACTCGTTCGCTCACCTGCCTTGCGCTTTACAAGCGGCGGCTTTTCGCGGACGCGCGGCGCTTCGTGCGAAAGTGGACATCGACGGGGCAGCGCGAAACCGCGCTCGGAATCGCGTTTTCGCTGCGACGTTTGTGCGGGTACACCTAACGCATCGATTATTGATTCAGTTGCAAATAGAAGCGAATGATAAATTTATTAGTAGCGGAGTGAACACCTATCCCACCGGTGAATATCTCCACCTTGATGTATCTATACACCTTTTATGCCTCTATGCAGCTCGCGGTCGGACACGCAAACTGTGGGTTGCGAAACGCCGCGGACTTTCGATATTCCGCGAGATCGCGATACATTCGATCGATACCTCCGTTTCATCCTTAAGCCCGTATCAGACTACGGATTGAGTATTGGATTGAAATTTAACCAATCAGGGCTAAGTTTACTATATTTGAGATTATTTTCTTTTTACCAATTGGTCAAATTTCAATCCAATCTCAATCCCAATCCATAGTCTGATACGGGCTTAAGGCCCGATCCACAAGAAGTGTGCTTTAGCCGTCCGCTCCTCGTGATTTAATTCTCGACTGAAGGCGAACTAGCTAGTCCTGCGACTAGTTTTGCCAGAGGTTCTCCTTTTGGGAAGGACTGACCTTCTTTCTAGCCAAAATTAGCCAAATTTTTCATGTCCTGCCAAGGACGCCATTTATCCCTCCCTACTGCGTCGGAAGAATTTTCTTTTTGCTCCGGTGCGCTGCCATAATGATTTATTACAGACCTAACTAAGCAACATTTTTGAAAATAAATGTTTAGGAAGGAGGCTGACGGATTCCACTGCCGACGACTTTTTTTTCTTGCTCAGCAAATTTTTCGGCCGTCTTCGTCTTTTCCTACTAACTTACAAATCTAGCAACTCTACGATTGTACGATCTTAAGCTTTAAACGTCTTCGCTGTCCCAGCGATTCCAGCTGTGGAGGCAGCGTGGAAAATATCCTTCGCCAGAAATTATGTAGAACTTGAGCAAACTAGAGCTATTGTCGGCCGAGCCTAAGGCTCCTCTTTCTTCGCCGCGACCGACGTGATTAATGATATCAGGAGCGAGATAACATATCTAAATTTCTTGTGGAACATAATAAAATAAAAGGACATGTCCATAAAGTTAAATTAAATCTTATTTTGATGCGCACAATATATAGATAGGTTTAAAATTGACGTAACAAATCATGAGGAAAGTTTGGTTAAAAAGAAAAATTGTGTGTCACATTAATTATACATTAGTTATTTATTACTTCTTAAAAGCCTCAACATCGTAAAAGAATATTTCGATTTAAATGTATTTTAATATGTATTTAAATTTAAATATATATGATCGAATAAAGTCGGCGAGATAAAACTCATTTTACAATTAATATTTGCAAACTTACCATTATCATGATTTCTATTCTATTCTATTTCTACTTGAAAACTAAAAATGCAAATATCGATTTTTTAAATCGAGATATGGACGTAAAGTATATACATGGACTTATATGTTAGGTACTAAGAAGTGATCCATTATTTTGCATAAAATTCAATATTTATTATTTTCTCACTCACTTTTCGTCCATTTTTTTTTTATACAAAAACTAGTCTTTCCTTGGGATAAGTTCATCAAGATATTTTTTCATTTCTTTGACGTTTCTAAATTTTCCACTAGATAAGACATCGGTTGGAGCAAATGATAATCTGCAAGTACTATATCCTTCGCATATGCCGGATGAGGTGAAACATCCCAACCAGGTTCCAACAATGTGTCCTTGGTCAATCTCGTCACGTGAGAGATCAAGCATTGTCACGCAGTAATCTACCTGGCTGGCGACCTTTCCTTGCAAAGGAAAAGGTAAAACGACCCTGCAAAGGTAAAACGATCCTGTAAAGAGTCCTATTAAAGTAACAACTCTGACAATTTTTCATAGAATTACTAATAATTATTAACAATAGAAATTATTAATAATTATTAACAATCAAAATTTTTAGTACTTATTATTAATAATAATGGCAATAATTAACAATATAATTGATAAAATAATTATTAACAGTAAAAATTGCCCTGCGGTTAATCGTTAATTACTTTAATTAGTTTTGTGGATGATTGTTATTTATAATCATTATATTTTAACAAAATATCTATATTTATGTGCACATAATGTTATTAAAGAATAAAATTATTATTATAAAATTATGAACATGTAAATATTATATCCTATAAAAAATCCAAGTCCAATTTCTTTTAAAAGTCCAATTCTAAAGAGTTCAATTTTTAAATAAATACTTGTGTCATTAAAAATATCACTTTAGATATTCATAATATAGAGTATCTCACAAATTGTTTACTATTTTGCCAGGTTTTCTAAGCTTCTAATATATATATAATTTATAAATAAATTTTAAGTATATATATTACCTGTACAAAAGTTGTAAGTTTTTCAAATTAGTAACTAACTCTAAGTCGGTTTGTCTTAATATATTGTATAATCCATTTCATTGGTTACAAAGTATCTGATAATAAATTTAAGACTATTTTACATATGAGATCTACCCATAAATATTGTCCCCCCCTCTTCTTTTACGTTTTTCTGTATCTATCTCTCTGCCTTAGAGTATCTCTCTGCCTGGAATGCCCATTTTTACCAGTGTCAATTAAACCTTAATCTGAGTTTAGGTCTTTGTCTAAATAGATTTTGAACTTAGATTAAAGTTTAATCAACGTTAATAGAAACTGATAATATTGTACGATAAAGTGCATTAAAATGTTTGTTTTAGGTGCAGAAAAATATAGATAAGCGTGCCATCTGTAGGCTCCAGACGCATCTAATTTCTCCAAAGCTAACATTTAGGGACGATATTCCAAACACGTAGCAAGTGTAAAGTATTTCTTTCGGGTTTTCAAGCTGAAACCATGTCACCCATGATATTTATATAAAAATAGAAAAAAGAACTGAATCTAGAATCATATGGTCAGGTTTAACCTAACCTAACTCAAGTCCGGTATAAGATTACCTGAAACTTTTACACATGCGCATCATAACTACATGTTCTTGTGTCATGACCAATGATTGTTCAAGAGAAATCAGCAACAATATTTCAAATATTATTTAGTCAGAATGGCATTTGTAACATAAAAAACAAAATTATAAATAAAAGACAAATAATATTCAAAGTATCGTTGTTTTTTCCTCGTCTAATGGACACTCACGATGCACATCATGTCAGACGAAGGTGTGGCTATTAAATAACTGGATCGTACATATTGAGAACAAAGAATTAAAGGATGGAAAGGAGTGAATATAGTTAAAAACTTGAATATTATAGTAATTTTATATGACTAATTGAACATGAGAAAAGTATGATATGCGAAAATGATGTCAAAAATGCTCACTTTAGAGCAGAAAGAATAGCATAAAAACATTTGCTTCGATATTCTATAAGAATAGCTAGATTTCTTTAACAATATCGTTATTTGACAAACAAAAAAAATAGAATTTTTCAACGTGCTTCTGAAACCAAACGATAATCGATACATTAGAAGAGGCCTGCTTCGCCGAGTGAGCAGAAATGAAGACAATGTTAAATATTTTTTCCGACTTGAATGATGTAATCATGGCTGAATAAATTCCTGATGGGCAAAATGTCACCCAGAAATGTTACATCGAGATCTTGATCAAGTTCTAAGAAAGAATGAGAAAGAAGGGACTATACTTGTGGTAAAATGATGGATATAGATTCTTCATCAGGACAATATTTCAGCATATAGAGTATTGCCTTTGAAAACGTTTTTAACTGGAAAGCGTATACCAGTGCTAAAAATCACGTATCTATTCCTTAAATTTGGTGCCCTTCAACTCTTTTCTATTCACAAAAATAAAAAAATGCTGAAAGAGATCCTTTTAAAGTCTGTGAAAGCAGTCCAAGCAAAAATGGCAGAGTTGCTAAAAAAACTAAAAGAAATAAAATTGCAACACTATTTTGAGCAATGAAAAACCTAATTGTAGAGGTGTATAAACAGAGGATGTAACTACATTGTATATTGAAGGAGACAAAAATTAAATATCTCAATGAAGTTATATTAGAACTAAAATTCGATTGTTTAATAACTACATCTTACCTTAGTAGCACACTTCATTGGCGTTGCATTTGTGTTACATTGGCTACGGTGACATAAATTGGGGTTACATTGGCCCAGTGTATCCCAATCTACAGCTAATATTGGTTGGATATTAAATTACAATATATCGCCAATATTGCATAGCATTGTTATACTAATATTGACTTACATTGGGGTTACATTGGCCCAATGTATCCCAATATGCAACCAATATTAGTTAGATATCGAATTAAAAGATATTACCAATATTGCATAGCATTGTTATACCAATATTGACTTACATTGGGGCTACATTGGGCCAATGTATCTCAATATGCAATTAATATTAGTTAGACATTAAATTACAATATATCGTCAATATTGCATAGCATTGTTATACCAATATTGACGTACATTGGAGTTACATTGGCCAATATTGGGGGCCCAATTTGTAGCCAATATTGGCCCAACAATATGTGTTACTAGGGTATGTGCAGACATGATATATGTGTGATTGAAAAATCCTGTTAATTTTAAACCTAATAAGTAGTAGAATATTTATGCAGTCTCATATGTTTTAATGATATCTTGTCTTATAATTCAAAATATCCAAAACGTTATGAGGAAGAATAAGTCCATGTCGCCTATTCAAAGAATGAGCTTAACAGAACCTTTAACGTCATCTAGCGGAATTCTAAGGAAAATCCTGAATATCAAACGTGGTCAACAGCCTACATGACGCCACCTATTACTATTTTCTGAAAGTATCATTAAGCTTAACTGGTTTGAAACTCGACTAAATATCTGTTACGGTTGTATTAGTTCCAAAGTTTCTGCTATGAGGCGCCACCATCTTGAACAAAAATAAAAATTATAATACGACTAACAGAAATAAAATAATGCTTGAGCTATTTTTAAAAAATACCAGTATTTTCATTATTATTATTATTATTAAAATATTATTACCAAGAAATATTCGTTACAATTATATTAAATAATTAATTCAGAAATATTTATTATAATTATATAATTCGTTATAATTATATTATTATTATTATTAAGATTTTAATTCTGATATAACTCTGATAGACTAGTAAATATTTTTATTCTTAAATATATCGCTACATAATAATAGATGGAAGATACTTTTATTTTTAAATAATGTAATTTAATGACAAGTCGGTAGACTTGTTTTCATTTACTAATAAAAAAATTAATATCCTGAATTGGCGACGTAAATTGTATTAGGAATGAAAATCCATGTTCAATATAGATTTCAACGCGACTCGGATCAAGTTTCTACAAAAGGCATGTGCGCATTATTATAAATCTGTAATAATAAAATTTAGTAACAACAAAATTTAAAAAATTTTTTGAGTAAACACACATAAAGATTAATAAAATTTAGAGAAATAGGGAATCGATTCTAAAAAAGGAAAAAAGAAACAGAGAATCGGGCAATATTTCATCAGGAATCTAACTCATCATCAGCGATATACTATAAATTGCATAAAACACTTTAAACGTGTCGAGAGTGGGTTCGTTATACTTAGTCGCTGATCATTACGCGGATAAATGCCGTTTTTAATATATCCATTGTGCTTTTATCTCATACTACGCACGTCCGACAGCGGGAAAAAGCACAGGTGAAGCATGACCGCGGGAGTGTCCTTCCGGTTTTAGCAATCGTAAAACCGCAGGTGCATCTAGCCGCACAATGCACAATGCTCGGATATCCGAAACGGATTCTCGAATTATACAATTGCGAATCTGCGACGCGTATATAATTCGTCGAGAAATAAATATTATCTAGACAAAATTTATCAAAATAAAAATTTTTATAAATATTTTCGTTTGAATATAAAAACTTTTTACTGATAAAATTAAATATATGTTCCTTATAATTATAATATATGCATATATACGTATATAATAATAATATATATAATTTCTGTCTAATCTTATTATAGCAAAATAAATATTATTCATAAGTAACGAATCTCTCATTTGGTTATATCAAAAAAATCTTGCTCAGAGAAATATTTCTACTCAAATTTCTTATTCGAACAAATTAAATTTTACAAAATAATAATATATAATATATAATATTAAACCCTTCTATATATATATATATATATATATATATATATATATATATATACTATATTATATATGATATTATATATGATAATATATTATGATAATATATAGTATATTATATATGATAAAAGTAAATTTAAGCATTCACGTCATTAATAATATTAATAATAATAATATTAAGAAGCATGTATAACATTTTGTACTTTTGTTCAAAAAGATGCACCAACGTGTATTCTCGGAACATAATGAAGTAAACTTATATCTGAAAAAAAGGCGCAAATGAAGGCGTAGCGAAGATGTAACGTCATGTTCTCATTTCCCATGAAGCCGTTCGAGTATGACGAAGAGTCGCTCGCGCGTGCAAAGTTAAAATTTCGCAAACTTGATAGCTCGATCGTCAACGCATGCATGATCGATCGCGTGAACCATATGGCACGCGTGCCCCCAGCGTGGAAGTAATGGATCACGGTTACATAGAGAAGACCCTGAATCGTTCGAAACGACAGTGTCGCCTTTTTCTTGCGCGTCGAAAGCGGATATACGGCACGGATGTCACGGAAAATACGGTCTCCTTGCGTAAAGATATTTTTCCATCATCTTGAAGGAAAAGATTAATTTTTTTATAACAATACTAATTCGTTAAATGTGGATAATGTCGTGTATACTCGGAAGCAAAAAAATTTAAACACCTTTCGGAACACAGCTGAGATCTAAT